CGCCCCTAGTTCCCTGTGTCTTCAAGTCAGTACTCTAAAATCTCCTCATTAAAGAAGCTCTCCCTGATCCTGCCCACTCTCAAACACACAGAGCACTGTGACTGTCTTCTCTCTCCTTACTCTGCTGTTTTTCTACATTGTGCTTATCACCACCTGACATTTTATATATTTCATTGCTTTTATTTTTTCCCTGTTAGAAGACTAGAAGCTCTGTAAGTTCATCTGTGTTTGCTTACCTCATAGAACAGTTCCTGTGTCATGCTAGGTGCTCAACAAATACTTGAGGATCAACAAATTGATCTATTTTAATATAGAGTTTAGGCCTGATAAAATTTGCCTGCAATTCAGATAGGGAGAGAAAGGGAAGTAGAGAGGAGCTAGTCAGTAAATGTAAGCCAGTGTTCCAAAAAAAATGTGCTACTCAGGACATTGGTCCTAAAATATCTCCTTGATGAGAAAGGATTTCCGTTGAGGAAATAATAATATACTAATCTCTTTTTTAAGACTGAGGAAGTTCTGCCCTAAGAATACCCATTTATTCAATGTGGCATTTTCCAAACATGTGACCCTGGAGCAAGGGATTTGAGGGTGATTGGTCAAAATGGAAATGACTAGTCAGGTTCAGACTGAGTAGGAAGGGAAGTGCAACCAGAGATGGGTTATCAAGAAAATTCAAATCACTCTGAGATCAAGAAAGCGCTTTAGAGAAGAGGTAGAAGGTAGAAATGTGTGGTTAGAGAAGGTGCTTGAGCATTTAAGAGTCAAATGTGGACCTTTACTAAATTGTTTCAACAGTGGTTGTTTTTGCTGAACTGGAGGGATGGACTAAAGAGGAGTGGAGGGTGAGTGAGTAGGTTAAGTGTGAGTGTGGTGAGTAGGTTAAGTGTGAATGTTGAAATGTTGAAATCTAGGATGGGCTCAACGGGAAAAATCTTGGAGATACTAGAGATTATTGACCTGGAAGTAATTAAATTTTGAAAAGAATTGTTGGAAGAAGGTGGTGTGTAACAGATGCCATGTGCTGCAAAAGGAAGGTTTTAAAGATTGCATTCAGATGAACAGTGACCAGAGGTGAGGAAATAGGCATGCTACACAGAGGCCAGAACTGTTCTGAATTTCGACTTCTTTTCTTTTGAAAATATTCTTTCCTATTTCTTAAATATGTACATTTTAGAATGTCATAACTGTCTTATGTAACAATATATTATTTCACATCTCTATATATCTATATATTTATCATATAATATATAATATGTATATCATACTTATACATATATATCACATCTTTATATGATATATATATGTGTCTGTAGTTACATATGTGTGTATATATATATACACACACACATATGTAACTACATATATATGTACACATATACATATATGTACATATATATGTACACATATATACACATATACACATATGTACATATATATGTAACACATATATATATGAAACTGTATCTTCATATAATGCTTATATATATATATATATATACACACACATATATATATGTAACAGCATTATATGAAGATACAGTTTCAAGCTTTATGGTGCACGTTTGAAATTGCTAAATATGGTAATGCATAACAGAATCAACATTGTGTTTGTGATAACTTTTATAAGAGGTTACCTTCTTGAGAGTTTTAGAATATTAAAGTACTTTATTTACTTGCTTTTGTCCTTAGTTTGAATGCTTCTTTTAACAGTGCTTGCTCTCTGCTACAATAGTCAACTCTCTGCATATCATCTCTACTATATTTTTATAAGCCTCACAATTTGCTAGCTTTTGCCACTCAGGACAGATTAGTGGAGTTTGCCCGCATGCGCTGCAGAGTAGTATTTTTTTATTTCATTGATTGTGAAGCATTTTTATATATACCATCTTAGATGATCCCTTAAATTATAAGGTAGATTGAACAGATAATATCCTCATTTAACAAATTTTAAACTGAAGCTATTTATATGATTAGTCATACATTTTCTTCTTGAAGACATTTCCAACAAGGAGAGAGACATCATGTTCTTTGCAATAGTTCCTTGTAGATTCTCAGTTCTGTATGTAGACAAATGGAAGTGATTTTCTCAACATTCTACATGCTACCTGAAGCATTCATTCCACCATCTGCAATGGTCAGTTGGTTTAATCATCCTTACATATAACTATTTTTTTTTAATTTAATACTGGTAAGAGAGATATGTTAGCATCCATGTGCTTTTCTTCCTAATGTGGTCTTAAGATAGATTTTATTAGATGAATATAGTATATTTATTATGATATATTAGAGATAGAAGGAGCCGTGTAGGCCATTTAACCTAACTTTCTCATTTTATACAAGAGGAAGCTTAATCTTAGGTGCCCAGGGAGTCACAGTTCTGTGTGATAGAGCTGGGACCAGTACTTTTTCTGCTAAGCTGTCATATCTTTTAATGAATACCGTTACAACAAAATTTGGCTTTGTGACTGAATCTAAGCTGCTTATCATGACTTGCTGGTAGCAGGCGGTGTTGACACTAACATACATACATGTGTTATATTTTGTGAATTATAGGGCAATCCTCCATAACCAGCTAATATAAGAGGAAAGAAATTATAACTTTACATTTTTATTTATTTTGAATGAAGTAATGACTTATTTTTTTTTCTTCAGGATAATTGTTTTTAAATCCTTTCTCTTTAATGCAGTTTCCTCTTTTTTATACCTTTTAGAGATAAAGATTTTTCCTTTAAAGACAATTTGAACATATTTGATAACTTGTAATTAATCCCAGGAATTGGATTTTATTATATGTTAGTATTGTAGTTGCTATTACATTAAAAAATGGGAGATGATTTGGTTCTTAGATATAGTGAAGAAGTAAATCATGTAGACTGTTAGCTTTATAGAACAGTGATTTTGTTATTTCATGCTGTGTCACTATGGCTTGATATGTGCTTGGCAAGTTGTGGGTGCTCACACAGGCACTCACATTATTTCCATGGGTTGAATTTATTTTTCTCAATAGTTAATTTTTATAAAATTTTGCTTTGTCATCTATTTAACAAGGAGATACTGAAATATACTTTTAAGCAAATAAAATATGTGATTCTTTTTAACATTTTGTATTAATGAATTTTTAAATCATTGCATAGAATTTAAGAGTATATGAAAACTATAAATAAGCAGCTTAATAGATTATGCATCATGTGATATCACTTTGACCATCATTATGAAGACATGCTTATCTTAATGTATGTAATGGATTCTATCTAGCAACTGCCTCAACTTTTTAGATAGTGGAATTAAGTCCCTATAAATGAGGTTGCTCTCCCTAAATAACCCAACATGTGGTATTGGAGAAGGACAAATCATGCAAATCTTAGCTTTGCCTTTGTAGTGCCCACTGCTTAACTGCCACCATATAGACATTGCCTCCATCTGAGATGACAAATAGTCACTGTCTACAATTAAAATAAGGTAGTGGAGTGTTAAGAGAATGAGAGAACACAGCAGTTTTTCTGGTACTGTTTGATTGTATTCTCAAAAATTTCTATTTTGATTCTTCTATTAGTTTTCTGTGAACTCACTAAATATTTTGGAATAAATTATATGAAGTCCTAATTGTACTTTTTTCATGAACTTATTTAGGTTACTTCTAAAACAAAGTGGCTTCTATTTGTCTTTCATGTGATAAAACAATCAGTAAAATATTCAGCAGAAAATATGTTTAAGATACAGGTTCAAGTATCATTTTTAGAAAATTACAGATATGGAAATAAATTTAGGTTTGATGATTGGCTAGAAAATAAAATGACAAATTGACTCAGCTATGTAGAATTCCAAAGAATGTAGTTGTTTTTTTTTAAATCAACTTAGTAACAAAATGTGTTGTATGAAAATGTGTGATAGATGTATTAAGTTTTGATTGAGTAAAAGTCTCAGCTACTTGTTCCTTATTTAATGAATTGTCAGAATATCTCAATTGTAATATCTCCATTGAATCCTAATATAATATTGTATGTATAAAATAATGAACAATTCATATAATGAGGGCAGCATAGTAACTAGATGATTTTTTCTTTAAAGCATTATACTTCCTGTTGTTCGGTGTTAAACAGAACAAGATTCTTTTTATCTTAGACTCCTTAGATCATCTCAGGAAGCCACCTCACTGATCACCAATGTTATATCTTAATGCTTTGAGGATTAATAATACGTATTATTAACCTTAAGGTAAACTTTTTTTTAAGGTTTGTTTACTTATTTTGAGAGAGACAGAGAGTACGAGCAGAGGAGGGGCGGAGAGAGAGGGAGAATCCCAAGCTGGCTTTGTGCGGTCAGCATACAGAACTCTAACTCACAAAACCCTGAGATCATGACCTGAGCCAAAATCAAGAATCAGACACTTAACCAGCTGAGCCACCCAGGCACCCCAAGATAAACTTGGTTTTTAACGTTTGGTAATTTACAGGAGAGATAGCCTATAAGTTCAGAGAATATAACAAATTGGTTTGGTTAAAATTAAAGAAAACTACATATTTCTAGCAATATGTATTTGGTTATCCTTAAATCATGACTTCAGTATTTGGCATGGCCTTTTTGACCACTGATAACTTGTGGTTATCTTGTGCCCATTTTAATCAATAATATTGTTTATTCCAAAATGAAACAAGTCATTTTCCACAAGAATTCACAACTTGCATATGAAACCAAGGGAAGACATTGAAATTTGAAACTTTCACAATTTGAGCAAAGAATTTACTGATTGAATTCTTTTCTAAGGGTGCCTAGATGGCTACTCAGTCAGTTAAGTGTCTGACTTTAGCTCAGGTCATGATCTCACGGTTCATGGGTTCGAGCCCCGCATGGAGCTCTGTGCTGACAGCTCAGAGCCTGGAGCCTGTTTCTGATTCTGTTTCTCTCTCTCTCTCTCTCTCTCTCTCTCTCTGCCTCTCCTCCACTCGCACTCTATCTCTCTCTCAAAAATAAACATTAAAAAAAATTCTTTTCTGTTTCAGAAAATGGAAGTGTCCAAGTTGGAGAATTGTTACCATGCAAGATTTGTGGAAGAACATTCTTTCCAGTGGCATTAGTGAGTACCTTTTTCCTTTGGGTTATGGCAGATCTGTAATTGTTTGATACTTCAGGACAGCCATTACAGAAAGAACCTCTGTGGAATAATTAAAAGATATACTGGCCAGTGTTCTTTGTTAAAGATATCAGTTTCATCTAGATCTTTCTTCCAGAATGTTCTCTTTTTTTTAGAGTTTGGTCTTCAGAACTACTGTGTTAAAGTGTTCCTCTCTGGGAATATTAGCAAAACTAAACAAAAACTCTGAGAAATGCATAATAATGTATTTAAAGACAGAATGATATGATGTCTGGGATTTGCTTTAAAGTACTTAAGGAAAAAAAGCTAGTATAGATGACAAGATTGCTGAATTGTTGGTAATTGTTGATGAGGAAATAGGAGTTCATGACACTGTTCTCTTAATTTTTAAATATATTTGAAATATTCTGAAGAAAAATTGTTTTCGATTAAAAGTATACCTAAAATATATTATGCATTCTTTAGATACTTTTAGATATTTGATGTACACAAACATAAGCACTTTTAATTGATTTTAATATAAAAATAACCAACTAGAGAATAAGGGAAAAAATGCCTATGTACTAATAAAATACTTGATTTTTACTTTTAAATATAAATATACATTTATTAATATTTTGATGTACAATAAAGAGTTTTCTTTGAATATGGTTCTGCAGGCTAGAGTTCTGCCACAATCCAGAATGTCTATTACTATTTCCAGTTTGTTTCTTTAAAGCAAAGTGAGGATTTAATGATCCAAAATGTCCATCAGACTATGGACTTCTTATAAATAATAATTTTTTTTTCCTTTGTCCTTTAAAAACATCTAGCCCACACTTAGTGATTTATTTCCTTGTTTCTATTATCAATTCACTGTTTTTCAAACTATTTTCAAAGCATTCAGCTCAGTTTACATAGGAAAAAAGTTGCCCTTTTTGCCCTCATTTATTTATTTAATTAAATAATGTGATCACTATTTGGGAATAAGCGCTACATAGTTTTGACACATACAACTCAATGTGAGAATAGACATCTATTAGGAAGTTGCCTGTTAGCCACACTTTTAGTTTTTTTCATATTTAAGAGATTTTTATTCTAATAGCTATAATTACAGTGCTTGTTGAAAATGAAAAACTGAAAACACTTATATAGAACAATTGATTTTTGATTGTGTATTGAAAATATAAGAGGCTCCATGATACCAAGCCAACCAGTTCTGAGGTTTCCTCTTTTCTCAGATAAAGTTCAACAGTTCTAGCTTGTTCAGTGTTTATCAAAATACAGAAGTAAAAAAAAGTGCATGTAGTGCACTGATGTCATTTGTTAACGTGTTTTATTTAGGGGAGGGGAAATGATTACTTATCCATTAGGTTAACTGGAATCAGTTATGAGAGCTTCCATCGAAATGAATGCATGAAAGATTAAATGAATGAGCTGCCAGCTGTATTTAAAAAAAAAACAAAACTATAGAAGTGGAAGGCTAGACAGCTCAAGAAAAATCCTTGGTAAAGAAAGGCAGAGAACTTGATTTCCAAAAGGGAAGAAATAGATGATTGTGAAGGAAATCGGACCACTGTGTTCTATCATTTTGTGTTAATTTTACATTAACATACTACTGTTATGTTAATAATTTTAGTAGCCCAGGCTACTACTATTCTGTTAATTTTTTGTGATCCTCACGCTAATCCAGTCTCTGTTTACATTCTTTTTCTAGTATCTATTTTCATGTATTTAGTGATGAAGGGAAATTTTTTTTTCACTCAATAGCTTCAATTTGGTTACATTACCTTATTCTCAGCAGTATAAAAACTAGAATATTCAATAACTTAATAAAATTTTGGAAGAGTATTTTTCTATACTCTCTTGTTTTATATAGTAATTGTACTTTCTTGAGAAAGATAACTTACAGCATGCATCATATATACTTTTTAACAATTTTAGTTAAAGCAAAATATGTCTTATTTATGGTTTATTTATTTATTTAATTTATGTTTTATTTTTATTTCATCTTCCAGTTTTTAAATTGGTCTCAAATGGCAATTTAAAGTTTTTTAGAATTCCCTTCTATAGAAAAGAAAATGATACATTGCATTTATTCATCTTGACAGAAAAAACATGGACCTATTTGCCAGAAAACTGCCACTAAAAAACGGAAGACTTTTGATTCAAGCAGACAAAGAGCTGAAGGAACTGATATTCCAACAGTAAAGCCTCTTAAACCTAGGGTAATTACATAGCTTTTTGAATAGTATGGACTTTCCTGCTATATATATTGAAAAAAAATTGTAATTACCTGTTGTGCTAAGATTGAAAATTAAGGAGAATTGTTTCATGTTTTCAGTTTATAAATGATCAGAAAATTGTTTATTTTAAACTTCTGCAAAGAAGAAACCTACTGTCTAAAAACCTATTACACTGAGGTTTTTATAGTATTGGAAAGCCAATTGCTTAGTTGTAGGCTGGAAATAATTTAAAAGTTTTCACATATTCTTTTTAAGTCATTGTTAATTACTTCAAACATAACTTAGGTATTGTGTATAAGTTTAAGTGTCATATCAGTAGTATAATCCAAAGTAAAGCTATAATTTATAGATACCTTAGTATAATAGAGACTGATTATTTTGATTGTCAGTAATTGTGATCTTATGCTTTCTGGGGAAGTTTGATCAGTTACTCATCTGTCCATGTATAGCCATTGTCAGCTTGTTTTCTTTGAAAGCAGTGAATCTCCTTTCATAATCTCTCCTTAATGCTACCTGTGATGTGTTATATTGCTAACAATAAATCACATACATACTTTGTTGGGCATAGTTTTAAATAGTTCAGTGAAATAGTAAAAATTTGAGTACCTCATTGTATGGGTTCTACTTCAGTAATAATGACTTCTCCTTGTGCTACAGGAAAACATTGCCCAGTGGGGCAATTAATCTTACAATAAAATTATTTGACAATAGAAAAATCTAATGTCCATCTTTGTTTTTCAGTCTGTGACTGTTGAAGTCAAGAATAGTGAAATTTGAATAATGTACATAAACCATTATTTGAAATTTTTCTTAGTATGTCTTCCAGATATATGATTATATTGGCTTTAATTAGCTAAGATAGTTAAACTATCTATTGTTTATTGAAAGTTTTGGAGGCAATGTAATATAGTGGGTATAAAAATGAAAGCTGGCTCAAGAGCAGCCTGCCTGGATTTAACCCTTACTCTGTTACTTACCATATTGTGTTGGACAGGTTACTTAATCTATACTTTTCTTTATCTGTGAAGTGATTGTAATGGTAGTATCTATCTTGTGGGGTTCTTATGAGGATTACATTGAGTTTACCCATGATGATGTCTCAATAAATGTTAGCTATCCTATTTCTTTTTAAAGGAGAAGGGTTCTAACAGTGAAAAATTAAGCCTCAGATAAAAGCAAGGTAAAAACCATTGCTTTACATTAAGTAGTTTAATTTCTTGGTACTTAAAATTGTGGTTTATAGAACAATAATGTCAGCACTATTTGGGAACATGTTAGAAATGCAGAATCTCAGGTCCCACCCAGACATACTGAATTAGAATCTGCATTTTAACAAAATCCTTGGGGAGACATACTCATGTTAAAGTTTGAAAATCAGTATATTAAGACTTTTTTTCCCTTGATGTTTTCATAATTCTTTCCTTGTCTGTGTATTTTGTGAATTTGACTTTGATATGCCTTGGTGATGGTGGGTTTTGTTGAACCTAATGGGAGTTCTCTGTGATTCTTGGATTTTGATGTCTGTGTCCTTCCCCAGATTAGGAAAATATTCTGCTATAATTTGCTCATATAAACCTTCTGCCCCTTTTTCTCTCTTCATCTTCTGGGAGTCCTATGATTTGGATGTTATTCCTTTTTAATAAGTCACTGAGTTCTCTAAGTCTTGTATCATGATCTTTTACCTTTGCTTCCCTCTATTTCCCTGCTTTCTTATTTTCCATAATTTTATCTTTTATATCGCTGATTTGCAGCTCTGCTTCATCCATCCTTGATGTTGTGGCATCCATTAGAGATTGCTTCTCGGTTATAGCATTTTTAATTTAGTCCTGAGTAAACTTTATTCTCTTATCTCTGCAAAAAGGGATTCTATGCTTTTTGCAACTGCAGCTAGTATTCTTATTATTGTGGTTCTGAATTCTAGTTCAGACTAGTTCAGACATCTTGCTTATATCTATGTTGATTAAGCCCCTGGCTGTCATTTCTTCCTGTCCTTTCTTTTGGGGTGAATTACTTTGTTTTGTTATTTTGGAGGACAGAAACAAAATTAATAAAATAAAAAATAAAAATTAAAAACAAAACAAAAAAATCAAATAAAGGGAGCTAGATCCTAGGTGTGTTTTGGTCTGTTTGTTGAAAAAAGCTTGACAGGATAGAGAAAAAAAGGGAAAGAAAAGAAAAAAAGGTAAGAAAAAATTTTAAAAACTATATAATAAAGTAGAATAAAATGAAATAGAATAAAATATTTTTAAAAATAAATAAAATTAAAAAATAAAAATAAATTTTTCTCTTTCTGTACCCAAGAAAGAGGAAGGAAAAAAAAGAAAAGAAAAAAAGGCAATTTAAACAAAAACAGAAACAAAATGAATAAATGAACCAGCAAACAGAATGAAACCTGAATGAAGTTACATCCCATTTCCCCTAGAACTGAAACTATGAAGCCCTCTATAGTCTGTACACTAAGCAAGTGGAGGGACTTGTCCTGGTCTTCTAGGGGATGTGCTGGGGGGGGGGGGGTGCAGTTGGGAGGGGCTTGGTATAACAGCTCCGTTCTCCACTAGGTTGTGCTGCTTGGCTTACTGGGGTAGATCAGTGTGATGCCTGTGTGCATGAGAAGTGGAAATGGCTTCACCCAGCTCCCTAGTCTCTGACACAGGAACTTGGCACTCTTCACCAACCAGCAATCAAGCACCCCTTGTTTCAGGCCTCCATCCACTCCTTGCCTCTGCCCTGTCCATGTCCAACTTGTCCACTCGCCAGGCAGCACCTCCCTTTGGAGTTTTATCTCGGATAGGGTTTGTTTCAAAACCCCACACTTTAAAGACCTCTGCTTGGACTTGCACCAACTCTCTGGCAGAGAGTCTTGCTGAACAATGGCTGGGTGCCGGCTTGCCCCCAGAAAACATTCATGTGATCGCACAGCAGCAGAGGTTCAGAGATTATGGCAAATCACAATGCATAGCCAGTGCCAGGTTTCACCACACTCTGACGTCTTTGTCCCAATATCAGGAAACATGGCTACTCTCCAGGGTCCACTGGGACCTTTGCCTGTGAGAAAGCCATATGGCCTCTACCAAATGCACTCCAAGCGGGGGAACCATTTCTCCCCATGTGGCACATGAATCCCTCAGACCCCATTTCCTGCTCCTGGAGATTCGCCCTACTTCCTCCCAAGCTCTGCCAGGCACTGAGTCCCAGAACTTCAGACTCTGTACTCCACTGTTTATGGAATCTTGGTGGTATTGAAACCCTCTCCTTCACATTAGCGGTTATGGAGAACAAATTTCTTGTTCAGTCTCCTGTGAGTGTTTTCACTCTTTCTCTCAAGCTACTTTTGCAGGAATGCTTTTCTTGCATGATCCCGATGCACTGCACTCTCCCCCTTACTCTTTCTCTGTTCTCTGCAAAAACAGCTCCCAACCCTCCATGGCTTTTCTCTCCCCGAGTTCACCTCTCTGTACTGCATCCCTGCCGAGTTCTGTGGCTCAAGTACCCAGATTGTTGTGTTAATCCTCAGATCAGTTTCCTAGGTGTTCAAAATGGTTTGGTGCTGACCTAGCTGTGTTTCAGTGATGAGGCAAGCTGAGGGTCTCTATGCTGTCCCACCATCTTAACTCCTCCCCCTTGAAAATCTGTGTATTAGAAGTTTTAAACATCATAGTGTAGTTCTCTATCTGTATCAAGGAAATCCTACAAAATCATAAGCAGAGTGGAGTAAAGCAGATACAAACTCCATTTTGGGAGAAACTAATCCACAGACTACAAAATATTTGTAAGGGCTGCCCAAAGCAACTGAATGCCAGGAGAACCTACCCACAGAGGAAGTGTAGGAAATTGCTGAGGGACCCATGGCCCAGAATGGGAACCTGCCACCTCAAAGGTGAAGGGTCTCTTCACCTTAAAGGTGACTCCTTATGTGAGAGGAGTCTAATCAGGAAGTATATATCCCTTGTTTACTATAGCCAAAGCAGGAACTGGGGTGAGCACAGGACCCTGGATGGCCAGGAAGTGGAATGAGCCTCGCTTAATTTGAACAAAAGCCAGAAAGGAGGAAGTAGGGAGAAGAGGCACAGAGTTGAAGAAGCCCAATGTCAGAAGATCTCCAAAAGCACTAATGAAAATAAAATACCCTTTCTGAAGGTAAGGGGCCCACTCTAAAGAGCTAGGTCCTATTTTTTTTTTGAAGCGGTTAGTATGGTTACTGAGGGAGCCATGGCTGGCAGCAGTAGCCTTCCTGGACCCATATTGTTTTAGAGAAGAATGAGAGGTGTGTCTTGTAATCATGGAGAGGCCTTATTTACATCTGTATCTACAAAGGAGAAGAGAGCTGTTGGTTTGTGTAGCCTGGAAAGGGACTGTGGACCTCTCCTTCTCTGCAGAACCTATTGTAAATAGCTGTACCAGGAAAACCTAATTCATTCAATGATGAATAATAATAAACCACACAAGGATGATATGAGAAAAAAGGTAGAGGAGAGCACCAAAACTTACCAGTAGATGAGTTATACTCATGGAGCAGATGAATGTTGTATTCAGACCTTTCACTATTAAATAAGAAACTTTAAAGGGTCAGTTATCTCCAGTATCTAAATTTGCTTGTATTTAGTTAAGGTTTTGCATCTATCTTCACGAGAGAAGTGAGTTTGTCATTTTTCTTTCTATCAAATTTTTGTTGCTTTTGTAAACCTAATTGGAAAATTGTTCTCTTAGTTTTTTTTTTTTATTTTTTGAAAGAGTTTTAAAAGATTGATGCTATTTCTTTTTCTTTTTTATTTATTTAATTATTTTTAATATTATTTATTTATTTTGAGAGACACAGAGAGAGACAGCATGAGCAGGGAGGGAGAGAGAGAGAGGGAGAGAGAGAACCTGACAGCACAGAGCTCGGCTCAATCTTATGAACTGTGAGATCATGACCTGAGCTGAAATCAAGAGCCGGCCACTCAACCAGCTGAGCCACCCAGGCACCTAATGCTATTTCTTTCTTAAATGTCTGTAAGAATTCAACAGTAAAGGCATCTGGGCCAGAAGTTGTCTTGAGGTTTTTAAATAATAGATTCATTAAAAAAAATTAATGTAAGACTGTTGTGATTTCCTGTTTCTTCTGGCATCCCTTTTGTGGTGTTTGTCAAGGATAGTGTTCATATAATGTGGTAGAATTTATTAGCATAAGGTACATTATAGTACATATCTTCATTTTTCCTCATGTTTATAAGAACTCTATCGTGTACTATTTTCCATTCCTTGGTATTTTGTGTTTTCTTTTTCTCCTTACTAGTCCTGCTTATTACTCTTTTTAAAGAACCATCTTTTGACTTTGCTGATTCAATGTATATTCTTGACTTAAAAAATAAAGACATAATAGAGATAGTTGGGTGTTTCAATAATATGACACAACTAAACCTATTGTAGCACAGGTGCCAGCATTATGCATATGGAAAGATACTTAGAGGTGGCCTTTAAAGATAGGAACAAGATTAAACTCTAACCAATATAGTAATTGCTATAACAGACACAGTTAGATGTTAGATGCATAGAGATTAGAAAAGAGAAAGTAAAAGTAGCATTATTAGATGATATGCCTGGAAAACTCCAGAGAATCAACTGTTAAATGATTATAAACAGTAAGAGAAACCAGTGAACTAATGAGATATAATGCTCATTATACAGAATTCTGAGATATACAGAAATTATTGAGTCTCATATGTCAAGAAACCCCTTGAAACATAAAAAAGAAAAGACTCTCTATAAAAAAATAACACAAAATAAAAAATATCTAGGAATTATATAGGTATAAGGTATAAGGTATACATTATGCCTTATAAGGTATGAGACTTCCACAAAGAATACTTTAAAAAAACTGAAAAACACAAACACTTCTTTAAATGCAAATATCTCATGTTTTTGGATAGGCAGGTTCAAAAAAATAAAGGTATTAAGTTCCTTAAGTTGTTTATGAATGCAGTGTTTAATTTTTTCAGTTAAAATATAGTTTAAAAAAGTTAGACAAGCTGATTCTAAAGTTCATATGGGAAAATGTACATAACAAGAATAACCAGAAAAGATTGAAAAAGAAGCAGCCTAAAGTAGGGTTATCCTATCAGGTATTAAACTAGTATTATATTATAAACTATTAACATTTAAAACACTGATACTAACACAAGGATAATCAGAACAGTGGAACAGAAGAGAAAGTTCAGAAATACCCCAATACAAAAGAGAGTATGATAAAAGTGTTATCAGTTCAATGGTGAGAAAAGTCAATAAAGGATACTGAGACAGACAGCTGCATAGCCATGTTAAAAACAAGAAATAAAGTTGAATCCATACATCACACCATAACTCATGATAAATTCCAAATGAATGAAAGATTTAAAAATTTTAAGTAAAACCATGAAAATTCTGGGGGGTGGGGGGGCGCGGCAGGGAAACATGGGAAAATTCCATTTACCGTAGTGTGAGGTTGGGTCTTGCTAACAATGACTACAAATCTGGAACTCATAAAAGAAACAAATAAACTATATTTTAAAAATAATTACTAATATCAGAACAGCCTTAGACAAGCTCATAAGATAGCCACATTTCAGGGGAGGGCTGAAGCTAGTCTCCTATAAAGATTTAACTAGAATTGTTAAAAATAAGACCAGCGACCCAACAGGTAATTTGACTAGGCACATAAATGGTTCACAAAAAAAGCAGTGCAAATGATTCTTAATGATACGAAAAGATGCTCAACTCACTTTTTATAAGAGAAAAACCAGCTAAAACCAAAGAGAGAAGTATTTTTCACCTCTCCAGTGAGTTAAAAAAAATAGAAGTTTAATAACATACTCTGTTGGAGAAAGCATAGGAAAATAGGGAAATTACCCTGTTAGTGGAGCTTAAATGGATGTAACACCTACAGAAGTCAATTTAGCAGTGTTTTTAACAATTACAATTGCATTTTAAAAATTGCATATAATACAATTACATGAAGTTTATTTTTAAAATTATAAATTTGGGGAGAAAGTCACTTAAGGACTTCTAATAAGAGAACATTTAAAATAACATAGCATTTCCTCAAGTTTTATTTCAGTTATTTTTTATTTTTTATTATTTTTTTTAATGATTACTTATTTTAAGAGAGAGGGTGTGTGTGTGAATGCGAGTTGGGGAGGGACAGGGAGAGAGGGAGAGAGAATTCCAAAGTGGCCCCATGCTCAGCACATAGCCCAATGCAGGGCTACATCTCACTACCCTGAGATCATGACTGGAGTCAAAATCAAAATTAATGCTTAACCAACTGACCCATCCAGGCGCCCCTCAACTAATTAAAAAAATGTTTTGAAATGGGTTTTTCTTTATTTCTGTATAGCCTGAACCACCAAAGAAACCATCTAATTGGAGAAGAAAACATGAAGAATTCATTGCCACCATAAGAGCAGCTAAAGGCCTTGATCAGGCACTTAAAGAGGGTGGAAAACTTCCTCCTCCTCCTCCACCTTCTTATGATCCTGGTATGTGGAATACTGTTGACAGAAATGTTCATATGGAGAGGAAATACTGATCGAATTTTTATAAATTTAAATTGTTATTAAAGTTAATTTATAATTATGGAACTTGATGAAGCATAATCTTTAAAAGTTTAACTATAAAATAATGCTGATTTTTTCAGACATTTAGGCTTATAAAGACACATCAGTGTTGAACATAGAAATTCATTATCTTTTTATTTCAATACTGTTATTTAAACATAAAGCATTATAATATCATTTGAAACATTATTATAGTCACTTTCAAATGTTAATATACCAGGAAATATTTGAAGATGCTCACTATCAATTGAAATGTAGTCATTTGGTAAGATTCAGATTGTTTTGTTGCCTGATGCCTTTGGTATCTTCTTATCTGGGAAGGAAAAAAAACATACTGTTGTTTCTAAGAGGTACATGTTTATGTAGGGAAACCACCATAAAAATTCATTTACCTAAATTATGCCTTAATTTCATGTATTATTATACTTTCTTCATTAGGTAGATAAAAGTTGCTTATCTGTTGTTACCGAAAGCAAGGTAAGATGCTGGCAACCTCATATAAGATACTGAGATATTGAAAGATTTAAAATAACACAATTGACACTTGGACATTGACTATTAGAGTAGTCTGAAGAGGTAGTTATTTTAATATAACAAGTTAGCTGCATTAAATTGTGTTAGTATTGTGATTGAGATTTATTTCTCAGTAAAGAAAAGTCTTATAAAATAAGTCGGGGAGATGAAAAGTGCAGCATAGGGAAATAGAGTCAATAATATTGTAATTACATTGTATGCTGACAGATGGTAATTACACTTACTGTGGTGTGAATTGAGTAATGTACAGAATTGTGGAATCACTGTGTTGTACACCTGAAACTAATGTAACATTGTATGTCAGCTATACTTCAATAATATATATATATTTTTTAAAAGGAGTCCGGTAGAAAACCTAGATATGATCGTTTTTAACATTTTATTGTAGTGAAGAGGTTAACAAACTATTTCTATAAAGGGCCAGATCGTATCGTAATGAGGTATATTTTTATCTTATCTGTTGGAACTTCGAAGAGAAAATAAAACTGTATAAAGTCAAACTATTTCTTGACAATTTTATCCTATTATTATCATTATTTATTATTATTATTTTTAGTGAGAGAGAGTGCTAACAAGGAAGAAGGGCAGAGGTGGGGAGAGAGAGAGAATCTCAAGCAGGCTCCATGCTTAGCATGGAGCCCAATGTGGAGCTCAATCCCACGACCTTGGGATGACCTGAGCCAAAATCAAGAGTTGGACACTCAACCAACTGAGCTACCCAGGCGCCTAACAGTTTTACTCTAATTAAAATGAAAAATTTTAACAGATGAGCTCAAATTTTAAAATTTATTTTTAATGTAATATGTTATTACTGCTTAATAACTTAGTCTCCAGTATAAAAAATAGTCTCCAGTATAAAAAATTGTGGAAACATATGATATAAAGACAAAGAAGAAATCCTATTTTTCCTCTACTTATTCATTCTTTTGTACTAAGGATTTGTGTTTTGGGTATTGTTCCCCTCAAATAAGATTCTAAGCTGGGAGAAAATCAGAATTTACCATATGCTAGCAGACTTTTTTCTTAAATGTCTTTACCAAGTTTAGTGGTCAGGTTGGGTGGTTATAAGGAGATAACAAGTTTTGTGTATCAAATATTATTGCTTTTGTTACACATATTGAATTACTGTCCACAAAAAACTTATAATTCCTTATGTTTCACTTTAAGAATTATGTTATTATTTTGTTTCTTTTTTCTGTTTTAGATTATATTCAGTGTCCATATTGCCAAAGGAGGTTTAATGAAAATGCAGCTGATAGACATATTAATTTCTGTAAAGAACAGGCAGCACGTATTAGTAACAAAGGCAAATTTTCTACTGATACCAAAGGAAAGGCAACTTCTCGGACACAGGTGAAATGTTCAATTATTTCTACAAATGAGAAAATGACTCAGTTTTACAGTTTTTTGCATATGCTTTACAGAACATTTGGCTATAATTTTCTCACCTGCTAAAATGTTTTATTACTGTTCAGGGACTTAGTAAGAAATTTGAGTGTTTAATTGATAACAAGTAATGAAAATTATTAATTTTAAATGGACATGAGCTTATAGAGATTTGAAAATACACAGGTTGATAAAGGTATTAGGAAAAAGTAAGAAAACTAGCTAAAAGGTAGGTGAAGGAGATTCAGAGGAACCTAGTGGGGTTAGAAGAGTGAGAAAATGGCAGTAAAAATACACATTTGAAAATTATGTGAGTACTGAATGTTTCCATGTTATATGTGACCATACACATGAGAGAGTGAAATCCTGGGGTCAAGACCAACTGCTATTTCTGAACTTTCAGGCAAGTACATAAGAGCCTTTTTTCTTCGTCTGTGAAGTAATCTACCTGATTTTTGTGAGAAGCAAATGAAATGGTGTATGTGAAAGCACCTCTAGAGCCATAAACCATGAAAGGATTTTGTTATATGAAATTTGTACAGCACTGTTGTTTCTCATTAAGCATATTATGACACAAAAACTTTGATAATGTCATACTTTTAAGCAAACTTCATTTTTCACAAAGCTTTTATATACAGTTTATTTATTTTTTACTATATCTTTATGCCTAAAAACATGAGCATTTGGTTTGGAACTGAAAAGTCTATTAATTAATTTTGAACCATTTCACTTACTTTTCTCAGTATCACTGGCAAGAAAGTAGAAAGCACATCAGCTATTAATAATCACAAAAACATCAGTAACCCTTTTTATACCCTATCCAAATGCTGCTTCTATTTAAATATATAAACTTCCCCTATATTTATTTAAATCTTCCTCTAAGATTTCTCTTGGGGCACCTGGGTGGCTCAGTTGGTTGGGCATTCGACTCTTGATCATGGCTTGAGTCTTGGTCTTAGGGTCATGAGTTCAAGCTCCATGTTGGGCTCTGCTCTGGGCATAGAGCCTACTTGAGGGAAAATAAATACAAGATTCTCTCAAAATGTACTATAATTTCTAAAAATTATTTGTTTTCTTTTCAGAATATCACATTTGTCTTCCTAGTTTATATGTGAACATAGGTAGCTCTCCTCTAATATGTATGTAAAATATCAGTCTATTTTCTTGCCCTTCTTTTTCCTTTCAAATTTCTCCTTCCATCTGCTACCCTCACAGTTCTTCCTGTGCAGTTCTGATTCACAGCCTAGAAAACAGATCTTTTATTTTCACTTTTATCTTCTCCCTGCTAGTACTGTAAATCTAATAGGCAGTAAATAATCATGAAATTCATTTTGTTTGTTACTTAGGAATAAAATATGGGATTAAAGGATGCCATTACAATGGGGAACCTTCTTGAGAAAAATCCATATTGAAGTTCTGTTAATATTATTGAGAATAGAACATTTCATTATTATTATCATCATTGTGAGGAAAGAACAGTGAAGAAAACTCATTTTGAAGAATTTCCAAAACAGATGTCAAACAACATTTATCTTTGACTTAAGACAGTTAAGATCATTAGTATGATTTTTTTTTTCTTTAGTCATAATAATCAGTAAAGGAAATAGAATAGAATGTGTGTGTTCCAACAACTTGGAGGCAATGATTATAAGTGTAAAATCCAGGTAGCTGGATTTTAAAGTTCTCACTTAAAGTGTATTGATTCTGATTCTATGCCCAGTCCTATATAGTCATTTCAGTGTAAGTCCATATTTTCTCATCTTTATTTATTCAAGAAATTTTTATTGAGTACCCTCTCTGAATTAGACACTTTTCCAAGTACCTGATCTACATTAGTAAACTAAATAGAATACTTTTCCTAAAGATGCTTAAAATGAATCCCTATCATATTTAGTAACTATAATCTGGCCCAATTACAGCCCACTTTTTGACCCAGCTCTGATCAAAATAATGATAAAAATACAATGAAGATTTATTTCTAATAGGTAAAAACAATCTTTTCATTTAATTTTCCATCATTCTTCTTCATTAGGAATTTTAGCAAATTCTAGCAAATTCATGACATTTTACTTATTTATTTATGTATTTATAATGTTTATTTTTGAGAGAGAGGCAGAGCGTGAGCAGGGGAGGGGAGGGAGCAGAGAGAGAAAGAGAGAGAGGGAGACTCAGAATCTGAAGCAGACTCCAGGCTCTGAGCTATCAGCACAGAACCTGATGCGGGGCTCTAACTCACAAACCATGAGATGCTTAACTGACTGAGCCACCTAGGTGCCTGATCAGGCACTGTGCCTGATCTTTCCCACCCTCCATAATCCAAACCTTCCATCCGTCTCAACCGACTTAGTTCCCTACATGCTGTAAAATCTACCCTGATTTGGGTAGATTGGTTTCCCTCACATTTGCATCTATAAAATGGGGATAATATATACCTACCTCATAACAGTTATCAAGAGCATTCAATGCAATAATGCCTATAGGTGTAATTTCTTCTTTTACTCATAGTTTATCCAAATGGGAGTCATTAACTTCCAGATCTTGGTGTTCCTCTAGATGTTTATTGCTAGTTTGTTGTTGTTGTTGTTGTTGTTTACTTAATAATTTTATGGTCTGAGAACATAACTTGGTAAGATTTTCATCTTATTGAGATTTGTTTTATTGCCTAGTATATGGTCTTTTTGGTGAGTGTTTCTACAGTCTTCAACTGTGATTGTGACTTTTTTCAGTATTACTAATTTGCCAGTTTTTGGTTCAAGTATTTCGAATCTGGCAGCTTCAAACTGTCGGTTGAAGTATTTAGGCATTTACACTCAATATAATTATTGATGTTTGTGGTGAATAGTCCATGTTGCTGTCTGTTTTCTATTTTTGTCTTTTTAAAAATATTTTTTAAAGTTTATTTATTTATTTGGCAAGAGAGAGACAGAGAGTGCCAGCAGGGGAGGGACAGAAAGAGAGCAGGGGGAGAGAGAATCCCAAGCAGGCTCCATGCCGTCAGTTCAAAGCCTGGTGCAAGGCTCAGACCCACAAAGTGTGAGATCATTACCTGAGCCAAAACCGAGTCAGATGCTTAACCCACGGAGCCACCCAGGTGCCCCCCCTTTATTAAATTTTTCTGGTACTTCTTCCTTGCCTCTTTTGTCTTAGTGAAAGACATTTTATTTTCCCTATTGGTTTTTAAGCTATAAATCATCATATTTTTTTTAAAATGGTTACTCTGGGAATAACAAAATGCATCTTTAACTTATCCATATCTGTGGATATTTCCATATATCTCTTACCAGTCTTAATTTATTGTTATATATATGTAACTCTATAGCCTTATAAACCGTTCGATATTCCTGATATGTGCTGTATTACAGTGTTCTACTTACACCTTTAAAAGTCATCTGTCTTTTAAAGAAATTGGGAGAATAAAGTAAATATATAGTCATTTATATACGTATACACACATGAATATTTATGCACACATGCATATACTTTTTTTTCTTCTGCTGCCGCCTCATATACATATTGTATTTAACTTACATACTACTTACTCATATATTATCATTTTCAGATTTCTTGTAATCTCAGTCACCATATAATGTCATTTTCTTTCAACCTGAAGAAGCTTCTTGAGCCTTCCAAGAGTGCAGATATACTAGAAGGGAATTTTCTGGTTTTGGATATCTGAAAAAATGCCCGATTTTGCCTTCATTTCTTTGTTGAGATTCTCTGTGTGTTCATTCACTATTACCATATTTTCCTTTAATTCTTGTGTATGTATTCCTTTACTTTTTGAACGTATTTGTAAGTAAATGTTTTGAAGGTCTTTTTAGCTTCTAAATCTAATACACCTGTGCCCATTTAAGTCCATTTTTGTTGACTGTTTTTGCCAAATAAATATGGGTCATGCTTTTCTCTTTCCTTTTCCCTTTTCTTTCATTGCCGCCCCCTTTCCCTTCCCTGTTCCTTTCCCTTTCCTGCAGTTAAACCTAGAATACACAGTTACCAGTTTTCTAGAATTACTTTTGGTTGGTTTCCAGTTTCTTAGCATCTTATTTTTTTTAAGATACTTTTTAAAAAATTATTATCTATAGGAGAGTTAAACATATGTTTTACGCCCCCACCATTGAGTTTGTAATCTGTTATTATTTTTTTAATTTGATTGTTTGATTTGTATTTGATTATTTTTCTAATTTCCTATGTTATTTTGATTATTTCCAATTCTCTCTCTGTATTTCAGAGTTGTCTTTTATTTAAGTGTAGTAAACATAATTGTTTTCTATTATGTATGTAATTGTGATATCATTTGATTTTTATGGATATGTTCTTGCTTTTTTTCATTTATGATTTCTTATATCATTATATACATAATTATTATTGATCATTTGGTGCTTATTGCCCTTAAAAACTTATTCATGAGAATTATTCATGTGAAGAGCCTTTTTATTTGTTTCTTCCGGTATCTAAGAGTACTGCCACTGTGAAGGCACTTTTAAATTATTGGCTTTAGTTTGCCTGACCACCTAGTAATGCAGATTTATACATCAAATCCATGTGATGGCCAGACTTGTTATAATCTCAAATGGTGTTGGCCTACCACTTTATTTTTTTCTTTCTGTCATTCTGTGCATATAAAGTGTTTTTTTTTTTTATACTTTCCTGAGTATTTTTACTTTTTAGTTGAAAGGTCAATCCAAATAGTGCCTTCTACTATGTTATTAAAAATGAATGCCCTCTATGTTCTTTAAGCTCTTTCCAATTTCAAGAAAAAGTCTTTGTAAACATAAATATTTCACTAAGGAAATTTATTAGATTTGTGACCATATAAAAACACATGAAATAATAAACTAACAAATGCATATTTAATGAATGAGAAAAATATGTATTAAATATAACTATAAAAATAGTGTGATTTTGGGTTTTTTTTGTTTGTTTTTCTGATGACTGAAATGGATTTGTATAAAATGGTTGATAGCTAGAGTCATCCCGAAAACCTTTATTATACCAGTAGAATTTCAGCTAGCTGTAGGACAAAGGAAATACAGCTCAGTAAGGAAGGAGTCAGATTATCTAGGTCAGGGGAACAGCAAGTTACTGAGAGGCAGGCGAATATGGTTTAAACGTGCATTCAGAGTAGTATGAGGATTCAGTAAAGAAACAAACCTGACTAGTTCTGGTCAAAAGTAAAAGGAAATATTATAGGAGATAGATGAGATTAGTCTACGTTCTGGATATCTCAGGAAACCTTGACAAAAAAATTGGGTAAAACAATAGGAGGCCTAATATAGAGAGGGGAAAAACAGAGCACCTTTTGAAATAAATTTATTTTCTAGTTGTACACCATTAATTTCTAATATGTGCATAAAAATATTTACTCCTCAGTATGTAATGGTACCAGAGCTCTTCCCACCCGTGCCCAGCCTAAAGATTTGACTTCTCTGTATGTAATATGCTGTACCAGTTCCTTTTGTCTATGCTAATTGTTTTGTTATTTTATTTATTTTTTTTTTTGGTAGCTCACAGAATATGAGTGGCTCACCAGTCCTGTTTCTTAATCCAGTTTTACTGAGCCTATTTTTAGTAGACATGCCTCATATTTTAACAGGTCTTTGTTAGGGCTTGTTTTCCATATTGTTGTTAGCTTTAAAATCTTTCCTAATGCCTTCATTGGTATTTCAGTGGGAGAGACCGATACTAATCAGATGCCCTTTTAAATACTGGAAACACCTCTTGGGTTTTGAGAGAAACCGTATCTTTATATGGCTTATCTCCAAAGGATCCTAGTCATTTGTTCATTTGAAAGTTATTGAAGGTTTTCTAAGTGTCAAGTGCTTAAAAAAGTTTAATCTCTTGCATAGTAGTGCCAGATGTGCATGGAATGTGTGTGTGTGGGGAGGGGGAAGAGAGACCCTTTCATCAAGATTTATTTTCATTAAAAGGTCACATACTAAATTTTGATAGGTGTAATGTGTTTGACTTTAAAATTTATGTTTAGCTAGCAATTTTTAGTAGTAGTGCTTCTTAACTTTCATACTGATTATTGGTTATAAAATATGATTTGATTTTTGAAAATTAGGTTTAAAACCAGTTTTCACATGAAGTCCTAAGCAGTCTAAATATGCGTTGGGCTAAATCTCAAGTATAGTAAGCACTTTATAGTTGAAGGGCTAGAACTGAATTGCATGAGTCTTAATTCCTGTTCTGTGATTATGTTGGAGTGTTACTGTGGGAAAGTTCATTTCATTATATTGGAGCAGGTGATCAATAAGATACTTTATTTTTATTTTATTTTATTTTTAAAATTTTTTTAATGTTTTATTCATTTTCTGAGAGAGAGAGGGAGAGCAGGGAAGGGGCAGAGAGAGAGGGAGACACAGAATCCAAAGCAGGCTCCATGGCCTAAAATTAATGATATCTCTCTAGAGAGTGGAGAAAAAATACTCTGTCTTTTCTCAACCTATATTCTATTCATCTAACATCTGGTGAGGATAGTGAAGCCAAAATTAGCTCTTCCTCTTTGCATTCAGGAAATCCATAAGGCAGCTATTGTTAAAACTTATCCAAACTTATTTGTAATCTTATGAATTATTATCAGGAGAAAATATGGCTGGAGGAGCGCCTGGGTGGCGCAGTCAGTTAAGCGTCCGACTTCAGCCAGGTCACGATCTCGCGGTCCGTGAGTTCAAGCCCCGCGTCAGGCTCTGGGCTGATGGCTCAGAGCCTGGAGCCTGTTTCCGATTCTGTGTCTCCCTCTCTCTCTGCCCCTCCCCCGTTCATGCTCTGTCTCTCTCTGTCCCAAAAATAAATAAACGTTGAAAATATGGCTGGATTATGTATGTGAAATATAAAACCATGCTCAGGAATATGTAAAAATTTTGACTTTTAAATCTGCACTACTAAGTGAGCATCATTGGGTGTTTCTTTTTCTATTAATATTTGGCATTTAAAATCTTAACATTGAAGAAATTTTTTCCATTTGACCTTTTTTCCCCCTGTGAACTGAGTAAAGCTGTTCTTAGTTTATTTTAGCAGTGCAATATCTGAGCCAAACTTTTAGTATACTAGTTTTGAGAGCGAATGTATTTTGGGAAACCTCTCTCTGAGATGATGTATTTTAATCTATACTCTCTCAATTTGAGTAATTCAGTACCTAATAAAAAATTGCTCATTTCAGGGTATGGGAGCTTTTGAAATGCTAGTTTACAATCCATAATCAAAAAGTGATGTTGATAAAATATTTTTTCATTATTTTAGTATAAGCCGCCTGCACTTAAAAAGTCAAATTCTCCTGGAACTGCACCATCAGGATCTTCACGATTACCACAACCAAGTGGCACTAGCAAAACTGTTGTAGGTAATGAGCTCCATAAAATAATTCGACTTTTTTGGGGGGTAGAGAGTAAAGATGGAAATTAAGAGAGTGTTCTGTTTTGCATTATTAAAATAGATTTATAATTTGGAAGAGATGTGGAGGATAAATAATTCTTTGTGGGTAAAAGTAAAGTAATTTTCAATAACTTCTACTTAGGATATTTTATAGTACTTTTTTTCCCTACCTTAAATGTCTGTCCTTGATATTTTTACTGATACATAACCTGTCAGAGTCAACCTGTCTGATCAACCAAGTTCTTTTCTTGATTCTTTAACCACAGCATTTTCCACTCATTTCTATATGTACTGCTCTAAACTTGACAGTTGTCCTAATAGACACGTTTAATGGTTTGAAGAAGATATTGATTAACTGAAGTGTACCTTTATTTATACATAAATTGTAATAAAGGAATATGGAAATTTTAAACGAAGGATGTTATATGTTGTTCTCTGGAAATTTCATTAAAAAAAAAACCATTTTCTTAGTTGATAACTTGTTTTGATTTATTGCCACAAAGATTCATCGTGACTAAAGCATCGTTTTCCTTGTCAGATTCTCTGTTTTATGTGATTTTTCTCTTTCAGTCTGTTGTTAAAACTAACACCTTTTTTATTATAAGGTGTGCCTTCAGGTAAAGCGTCCTCAGTTAGCAGCTCTTTGGGAAGCAAACTTCAGACCTTATCTCCCTCCCATAAAGGGATAGCAGCTCCTCATGTAGGGTAAGTCAGTTTGAATTTAATTGATTAGTGATACGTGTGTGTGTGTATGTGGATATATGCATATACATGTATACATATGTGTATGTATATGGGTACGTGTGTGTGTGTGTATGTATGTATGTAAGTGATGCCAAAGTTTTATGTTTAGATAATTGGCCTTTTTATTAACCTTGATTTTCTTTCTAAATTTCATTTGTCTTTTAATATATTGCTGTTCAGGGGCACATACACTACTGTTCAGTGTCTAAATTAGGATTACCATTTTGCAAAAAAATCTAGTAACATGTATCAAGAGCCCAAAACACATTCATATATTCAGTTGAATAATTTTACTTCTGGGAATCTAGTCTAAGGAAATCATTTGAAATACAGAAGATTTTTGTAATAACCATTTTTTATTAAAAATTACGTATCAGGCACTGTGCTAGACATTTTTCACATATTTTTATTAAAACCACCCCACCATCATAGGATGAGGGGATCGGAGAAGCAAAGTAATTTGCTTGAAGCCACACAGCTATTAAGAGTCGGAAGCAGGATACCAATTGGAGTCTCTTTGGCTGTAAACATTAGTTTCTTTTCATATGGTTTTATTACAACATAAAAAAATAAAATCAAACCACCTAAGTTTCTAGCTTTTGTTTGAATAGAAAATTATGAACATCTACACAGGGATATTATATATACAGTTTATACGAGAGGAATGTAGGATATAAATTCCATGTATACTGTGATAGAAGCTATAAAAATGCATGTAGACAAAATATGCTGAAATATTAACAGTGGATGATTATTTTCTATTTAGTAGACTTGTTAAATACTTTTTATCTTTCTACAGTCTTATATACATGGGTTTTAAGAAAGTAGTATAATTAAGCTTTCCACAATTATTTTATGTTAATGTGGGAAAATTTTGTTTGTAACACCACAGATTTTAAACATCCTCCTATCTCAGTAGAAACTCTTTTTCTCTCTCATTTTGATAAATCAGAAAATTAAGGGTTACCACGTGATCATTAGAATGAGAGCTTATGGGCAGCTGGGTGGCTCAGTTCGTGAATTCTCCGACTTTGGCTCAGGTCATGATCTCATGGTTCGTGAGTTCGATCCCCACGTTGAGCTCTGTGCTGACAGCTCAGAGCCTGGAGCCTGCTTCAGATTCTGTGTCTTTCTCTCTGCCCCTGCCTGCCTCGCTCACATTCTGTTTCTCTCTCTCTCTCTCTCTCAAAAATAAACATTAAAAAATTTCAAAAAAAAATAAGAATGAGAGCTTATGTCTATACAGATACTAATAAAGTTGATTTAGGAAATATAGCACACATTTTCAGATATGGGTTATCATTTTTGTTTTTAATGTAGGAAATATATAGAGAGTTATCTATAAAGTAAGAGTAACTATCTCCCTCCAACTCCCTAATTTGGACTACATAGAAAGCACAAAATCTAAATTAAGTTGATATAAGTATCATTGTAGAAAAAGAAAAAGTCAGCTAACAAGATCTGATTAGTTACATGTTTTTTTTTTCTTTTTATTGTGCTTCCATAAAGAAGACACAGGCTATCCTTAAGAAAGAGGTTATCAGAACAGGTGGTTAAAAAGTAGGAAGTTTGGTTGTAAAAAACGATTTTATGATATTTTTTTAGTTTCTCTATTGAATTGACTCAGATAATTTTTAATTAAAGTGTAGACAGTAATACATGCATTTTAACTTTTACAAAGCTTTTTTTACCATGTCACAGAACTGCCTTCCATGTTGTGTTATAGTTTCATTTACAGTTGTTCATGAATTAAAAGCTCATATTTTTTTACTGCCTTTCCTCTCCTACTAGTAATTTTATCTGTTGGCAATATTAAGCTGTCCTGACACCCTACCCTGTATTCTTAATAGGGCATGTTAAACTGGCAGGTGTAATGAAAAGGGGCACTGCCTTTGGATTAGAAAGTTAGGCTTCTAGATCCTACTTTGCCACTGAATAGCCATATAACTTTGTGCATATCTCCTCTGTCTCACTCAACTGATCTAAGAAACTCTGATCAACATTTATATAATCCTGAGGAGAAAATTTGTTTTTACTAACAATTAGCAAAGACTTTGAGCACAGTAATTTTATAAATTATGCACTGCTTACAATGCCATGAAGATTTAAAATGTCTGGTTGTCTCACATGGTATTAAACTGTCAAACATAACTGTGTAAATGTCAATTGTCCATTTTATATATAGTCCTTACATGTTAGAAGAATGTTTCCAACTACTGCCAGAGAGCTTTGGTGTTTGCTTGTGGCCAGTATGTTACCATATTAACTGGAACATTACTATATTACTATATTAAGTAGAACCATTCATTGCTACCTGTTTAGTGTCAGAGTTCTTTTTTTTTTTAATTATTGAGTGTATTGTTATTTATTGATTATGTTGATTTATACTTTTCCTTTGCTAGATCGTAAGCTCTCTGGCCAAAGCTCATGTGTCTGTCTGTCTTGCTTACAAATGTAACTATAAAATGTATTTTAATGCCTGGCATAGAGGCACATAATAAATTTTTGGTGAATGAATGAAACAAAAAATGAAATAATAAGTTAAATCCCTTATTTGTTAACCTATTGGCACAGCATAGAACCAAGGTCCTGATAGTGGTAGGATATTACTTGAAGTTTGTATGGCAATCATTATTTCCATTGACAAAGATGATTCAGGATTGAGTAAAGGTAGAATTAAGACATTTGGTTAGCTACAATGTTCAAGAAATTGAGCACCTTCTGAGGTTAATGAAACAATCATTTCCGTAGCTTGGGATTGTTTAAATAATGCCTTGTGTATATAATCTTGATTGCTACCAGCTTTAATCATGTATAACAGTGATGTGTAATATTTAGCAGATTATGGACTCATACTACAGAAAAATTTTATCTTGGAAAAATTCTCATATATTTGGTAATTTCTAGATAATCTGTGGGTCAGCTGATTTTATCAGATTTTTTTTTAAAGCAAAAACTATTCTCAATGGAAAAATGTTCCTTTATTGTAAAAGATGATTATCTTTAATCCCAGGAAATTTTAGAAGTATGATGAAATGCAAAGCTTTTAAATAAATACTGCCACATTTGAATTGTGTCACAGAATGTACAGTCATGCCTTGAGGTTTGTGCTTTCATAATGGCTAATTACCAGCTTAAGTGGATATTTTAGCCGATAATTTTCAATAGGTAAAATACTAAATATCAAAGACTTAACTTCTTTTCAGTTACTATGAAAAACAGACATTTACTTTGGAGATAGGCTGTTATACATGTAGTGAAACTAGAAAAATGGAATGCATTTAAGGAGCATTTTTTAATAAGTTGAATTTGGTTTCCTTTACTTTAATTATATAGATAAAAGTAAGAAACCGATATCTAAATTTTAGGTACATTTTTGTAGAAGTGGAAATAGGCCTTTCTCATAAGCCAAACTTTTGATATGTGTGAATTGATTTTGTGTGGAACACTGTAAATTTTTATGAATTTCATTGTCATTTATTACTGAACTAGAAATGCCTTAAAAAACCAGAATTGCAGAGTTTGGCTTCTTATATGGACAACAGTGATTGAGGCTATTGGTTTAGGGAAACTAACTTTGCCCTATATATAGGATTTGATGAGTTTAGGGTCAAAAATAGAAGTATAACACACTTAAAAACTTGGAGTGCCTCAGAACATCATAACTTTGGGAGTCTACACAGACACAAAATACAAACCGTTAATTTTTCCCAATATTCTTTAAGAAGTCACCTTTTTATTATACCTACTCTGCTTGCTATAGTGTTAAAAGACTGAGTGTTTTACATATTTCCTGAGTAATTTGCTCTCATGGTATCAACAATAAACCAGGACCTTCTCAAGGTTAATATTTATTTCAAATTAAAACCTATTTCAGTAGGTTGGTATCATTGCCAAATATTTCTTAAGATGGGAATTCATACTCAGCTATGAATATTATGAAAAATTGCAAAAGTATTATTCCTTTTTAGGTACACTCCTTATATTGTGGCAGTTGCATGCAACTACAGATAGTAATTTTAAATTAAAAAGTCCTGGGGCGCCTGGGTGGCGCAGTCGGTTAAGCGTCCAACTTCAGCCAGGTCACGATCTCGCGGTCCGTGAGTTCGAGCCCCGCATCAGGCTCTGGGCTGATGGCTCAGAGCCTGGAGCCTGTTTCCGATTCTGTGTCTCCCTCTCTCTCTGCTCCTCCCCCGTTCATGCTCTGTCTCTCTCTGTCCCAAAAATAAATAAACGTTGAAAAAAAAAATAAATAAATAAATTAAAACGTCCTAGTCAAAATTACAGTTTAGTATCTATAGAAATGTATTATTAGCTTGGCAAAAAGTAATGTATACTTGTCTGGGATTATAAGTAATGTAGTGATACCCATCGTAACCCTTTCATATATGGTAAAACTTTAAAAATCATCACTGAAATCTGCTTTTCATTTACATTTTCAAAATCTTAAAATACTGGCATCCTCTCATCTATGGAGTTTTTATATTTTAGATCAGGTAGTCTTCTTGAACTATGGCCTGAGAGCCAAATCTTGCCCACAACTGTTTTATTGGAACATGGCCACACCATGTATTATGTATTGTATTGTCTGTGGCTACTTTTATGCTACAGTAGTGCAGATAGTATTTGTGACAAAGATACCATAGCCCATAAGGCCCAGAATACTTACTGGTTGGCCCTTCATAGGAAAAGTTTGCCATTCTGTATTTTAGAATAAGTAAATTATCATAGGGATTAGACATTTATAATTTGAAAGTATGGATTTTAAGGATTCTTTATTCCCAAAGTTAGAACTTTTTTTTTTTTTTTTGGTCATGTGGAATATCTGGAAACTTTGACCATTGATTAGAGGTCCATGGAACCAAAGGATTTTTTAACTTTTACTAACCCAGCACATTTGTGTGCTTGTATTGAAAGAACAGTGAGAAATTGAAAATATACTTTCATGTTGACTCTGATGAAATCTAAGTGCCAATTTAATGGCATATCCTTGAATTTCATGTGGGATTGAAACCGTATGTTATGTGTATCAGGTTGCTTAGTCTGCACTAGATGTATGCTATGTATGTGCGCTTAGTTGACTTCAAAATATCATCTTCTGTTTTCCTTAGCAGTAGCAAGACTATTTCTACTGCTGAGTGGATTAGTTTATTTCTGCCTTAATTTCTTTTAGCCCTTGGGTATATAATTGACATCACCAGTTGGAACCTTTAAAAGAAAAATAGCATAGAAGCACTCTAAAAACATTGATACTGATAGTTCCATAATGGATTAGTATCAGATTGAAATTATATTGCTCAAACTTTGTGAATAATCTAAAAATACCTAATAGATAATTTACTTTCCCCAGATTTATTCTCAAAGTAACCCCGGGTGTATAAATTCAGTGTTAACATCAATAAAGGTGAATTTTTTTCATAGCTTTGAACATATAATGCCCCTGAGGTCAGAACAAAACATTAAATAGACACAGGCTTCCAGGTTCCTAAACTCATTTTATTTGCTTCCTTAAGTCAGTTGCTGATGATTTGCACAACCAAGAAAGATAAAGAGAAGAAACTTCAACCAAAGAGCAATCTGCTGGGGTGAACCCTTTAAATTCCTTTTGAAAACATGTTACTACTTTTGCAAAGATTTTAATTTATTTCCAAATATCCCTTCATCTTGTTGCTGCTTTGACTTATCTTTAGTGCTGTTGGAGGTTGAAAAACAGAATGAAGGGATTTGATATAAAAAGAAATGTGAGTAGAGAAGTGTTCATGCTCAGTAAAATAAATACGCAGATGGTACACGAGAAATCATCTGTTATATCTTATGATCTGGGTTAGTTTAGGGAAAGATTTAACTATTTGAAAGGTCTTCTTTCATAAACTAATAATTTTTAAATTTACATAATAGCCTCAATGTCGATTTTTTTTAAAGGTTTATTTATATTTAGTGAGAGGGAGAGAGAGAATCCCAAGCAGGCTCGATGTTGTCAGCACAGAGCCCGGCACTGGCCTTAACTCATGAACCATGAGATCATGACCTGAACCAAACTCAAGAGTCAGATGCTTAACCAACTGAGCGACCCAGGTGCCCCCCAGTGGTGATTATTATTGCATGGCCAAAAAATATTTGTAATTGAGATTTTATATATAAAAATATATTTAATATATAAAGTTTACATATAAATAAATTTATAAAAATACTATAGTTTATAAAGTAAGTACATTATATATAAATTTTTATGTGTGGTATATATATAATCTTCATTACATTATGGGGATTTATAAATTTTGTTTTTGTTTGCTTATACCTTTATAACATAGCATAACAATAGCAAGTTATACAAGAGTATAAGTTTAAGTGAACTGAGTTTAGGAATAACATTTGCTGGGGCACCTGGGTGGCTCAGTTGGATAAGTGTCCAACTCTTGATTTTGACAGATTCAACTCTTGAATCTGACAGTTCACAGGTTTAAGCCCGTGTCAGGCTTTGCACTGACAGTGCAGAGTGTGCTTGGGATTTTCTCCCTCCCTCTCTTTCTGCTTCTCCCCTGTGTTCTCTTTCTTTCTCTCTCTCTCTCTCTCTCTCTCTCTCCCAAAATAAATAAATAAACTTAAAAATAAGAATTGCATTTACTGACATTCAGCTGAAGTAATATTTGAATTGTGTCTGTGTATGTATATGTATATACATAGGTAGATAGATATATGAAAAATTTATAATACTCACATTAGATAATTACCTTTAGATTTTATTAGATTTTATACATCTCCTTTATCAAATTGAACTTTGTTGTGTCATATGTCAGATTTGAATAGTTCTTACCCTATTAGAAAATTTTGTTTTAAAAATGTAGTTTAAAATTTTCTAAATCTTAATGTCAGTAATTTCTGAGAAAGAAAATAAGATCTTTCATTCTTTATTCCGAAGACACAGATATGTTTTGTAAAATAGCCACTATTTGTAACACTAAAGTTTTGATAATTGTTAAGCAATTCAAAGAAAAATCTGATTTTTACTAAGTTTTTACTGACATTTACTAAATAGTAAAATTAATAATCTTTTACAGATGAAACCTAATTTTAATCTCAAACATTTTAGAAATTATGTAAAATATATGTATTTAATGAAGGTATTTTTTAAGAAGTTTTTTGAGTATAGTTGACACATAGTGTCACATTAGTTTCAGGTGTACAACATAGCGATTCAACTTCTCTATATGTTATGCTGTGCTCACCACAGATGTAGCTACCATCTGTCACCATTCAACACAGTATTGACTATATTCCTGAAGCTGTGCCTTTTATTCTTGTGACTTATTCATTCCATAACTGGAAGCCTGTATCTCCCGCTCCCCTTCACCCATTTGCCCTTTTTCCCACCTCCAACCCCCCTGGCAACCATCAGTTCTTCTCTGTATTTATAGATTTGATTCTGCTCTTTGTGTGTTTATTCATTTGATTTTTAGATTCCACATATGAGTAAAATCATATGGTATTTGTCTTTCTTAGTGTGACTTACTTCATTTAGCATAATGCACTGTAGGTCCATCTGTGTTGTCTCAAATGGTGCAGGCTTATCCTTTTTATGGCTAGGTAATATTCCTTTGTGCACGTGTGTGTGTGTGTGTGTGTGTGTGTGTGTACCCCACATCTTATTGAAGGCATTTTTTAAAAAACTTTAGAGTAGGGGCGCCTGGGTGGCGCAGTCGGTTAAGCGTCCGACTTCAGCCAGGTCACGATCTCGCAGTCCGTGAGTTCGAGCCCGGCGTCGGGCTCTGGGCTGATGGCTCAGAGCCTGGAGCCTGTTTCCGATTCTGTGTCTCCCTCTCTCTCTGCCCCTCCCCCGTTCATGCTCTGTCTCTCTCTGTCCCAAAAATAAATAAACGTTGAAAAAAAAAAATTAAAAAAAAAAAAAAACTTTAGAGTGTTTTAAATATTGTGATGTAAACACCTAATATAAGCACCACCACCTGCAAAGCATTAATACCAACTTTCACAGCGAAATATCTGCTATGTATAGGATACTGAAAAAAACATTAAAATGTATAAAATGTGTACCTCTATAGAGACCCTTATAATCAAGAGCAATGAACGGATTCTTTTTAGGCACCAAATTCTGTACAAACAAGATCAGTTTTGTTTCATTTACCAGGATATCCCCAGAATGTAGCATAGTGCCTGATACATAGTAGGTGCTCAGGATTTGTAGAGTCAGTGAGTAAGTGGAAGATTAAGTGGAGTAAACAAGCATCTCTTAAAAAGAGTATCCTTTTTAAATTAATGAGCATTGATGTGTTATTCAGTAGTCACTTTCCTATTTTAATTTTTCCTGGTCCCTACTATGAATGGATATTGGTTGGTGATAGTATGTAGGATTTAATTATTTGCTTGATGTAAAACAATGACATTTCAACAAACCTGCAGTCTTCCATTTTTTCCTCCAGATGGAGCTCCTTTATACTTTCGGTTAAAAAGAAAATAGGAAACTTCAGATGACACGGCCACTTAACATTTCTACATGTGATATTTCAGAATTGCCATCCATTTTTTTCCCCACTATATTATGCTTTACCTTTCTCTGTATAAATTTTAGAAATAATCATTCTTTGTTAGAAAGTCAAGGGTAAAGATATATATAATTTATTTGATTCCTTTATATTTGGAATTTTAAAAGGCAGAGGAAATTATAAAATAATAAAGAAGAAAAAACAACTTGCTATGAAATCAGGGAACGTGGAAATTAGATTATTTGTGAACTCCATAAGAACAAACATCAAATCAGTCTTATTTACCAGAATAATAACTTTTCTAGCTCTACAAGTTTTATTTGAAATGGCCATTGTCCTTCTTAACTTGCTTTATTGATTCCATTGCCCTGCTGTATAAAAATGTGGCATTTTTTGGATGTTCCTCAAAATTGGCAGGGTGGTCTGCCTCGTCAGAATTTCCTATCTAATAGTAGACTTTGTATGAACTGAGGATTCTTTTTGATAGTCCTTACTCTGGCAGTCTGATAATTTAGAGCTTGGTGGGTAGATTTCTGATGAATAAGAATAATGTTAAAAATATTTTCTTAATATAAAGAAACAAACAGTAGCAATCTCCTTATGGGTACACCTTTATATATTTTAATAGTAAGATGGACAAGTTAGGCCCTCCACTTCGAACTGGAAGACATGTGCAAAGGTTGTATGACAGTGATACAAAATCAGACAGTACCATCAAAAGACATGAGTTATTACCCATTTACAAGTAAGTATTTGTAACTCAGTTTGGTTAATCTTTTTCAGATATTTCCTTAAAGGCTTTATGTAATTGAATATTATAAACTTATACATTCCTATACTTAAAAAATCTTTCTTTAATCATTTGTAAGCCTAGAAGTGCTAAATAATCTTCTAGGATTTAAAACACTGATGTTAGATGAGCATTTCTGTTGTTCTACATAAAGCTGGTTTTAGCATACATTTGTTTACATTAAATTTTAACTTTTAGAGGATTGAAATAGCCACCTTCAATAATTGTTATTTTTATGAAGCTTTCTTTTTTTTTTTTTAATTTTTTTTTTCAACGTTTATTTATTTTGAGGACAGAGAGAGACAGAGCATGAACGGGGAAGGGGCAGAGAGAGAGGGAGACACAGAATGGGAAGCAGGCTCCAGGCTCTGAGCCATCAGCCCAGAGCCCGACGCGGGGCTCGAACTCACGGACCGCGAGATCGTGACCTGGCTGAAGTCGGACGCTTAACCGACTGCGCCACCCAGGCGCCCCTATGAAGCTTTCTTTTAGGAGCAATATTTTTAAAAAGAAGAGAATAGGGGATATTATGCCCTACATAATGTGTAATATTCCTGTATTATTTTTTACTTAGATAATGAATTATTATAAAAAGACAGAAAAAAGATTTTAGAAAACATTTGGTCCAGGAATTCTCATCCTTTTGGTTACATGGTTACAAATAACACATGAAACTGGGAAAGGATAAGACACTGCCAGGTACACTCCCCTCTCTATACTGGCCTAGAAAGCGGAGAAGAGTGGCAAGTGCTGATGGCAGTCATCTTGGCACTCTTCCACATAAGTCTTCAGGGTTTTCTAGTTTGGGCTCCAACTCCCAAGTCTAGCCCTCTCATTTTAAAATGATGAAATTGGGGGCGCCTGGGTGGCGCAGTCGGTTAAGCGTCCGACTTCAACCAGGTCACGATCTCACGGTCTGTGAGTTCGAGCCCCGCGTCGGGCTCTGGGCTGATGGCTCAGAGCCTGGAGCCTGTTTCCGATTCTGTGTCTCCCTCTCTCTCTGCCCCTCGCTCATTCATGCTCTGTCTCTCTCTGTCCCAAAAATAAATAAACGTTGAAAAACAAAAATTAAAAAATAAAATAAAATAAAATAAAATAAAATGATGAAATTAGAATCTGATAAATTACTTATTAAAGTTGAAATGTGTATTATTCATCAGAATTCACTTCCTTAACTTTTAAACCGATGCCTGCTACAGCATTCTCTTACCATGTATGAAAAGTAAGAATAAATTTAACTAAATGTAAAATAAAGTAAAATAAAGGTGGGAGAAGTCTTTGAGATATTAGCAGCAACCATGTGTTCTTTTTAAGTAGTTAGTGATCAATCCTAGAAGGAAGAATTTGTGCCCTGAGCCATTTTCTTAGTACTCCTGTTGCTCTCTATTTGCTCTGAAGTGTATCTCAAAGAAACAGTGACTGGTGGCAAGGTAGAGTAAGTATAATTCCAAAATTAAACTTTCTTTATTACTGTGTGACCTAGGTCAAGCAGATTATAGATACAGAATAAGGGTAGCACTTTTCAAACTCTGGCCAGGAGCAAAAGTGTGCTGACCATGTGGGACTGGGGCAGCATGTTTTAAGTACTGATCAAGACTGTTTTTCCCAATCTCCTAAGAATGGTTCTTGATACTCAGATTCCACCTCTTAGAAGATGTTACTAAAAGTACATGATTGATATTTCATAATGATGATTCTTGTTGATAATCTCATTTTTCTCTAATTTTAAAACAATTTTCTAATTATTTGAATAACTTCATTGATATGGTGAGGTTATATGTGTATATCTATAGGTGTGTTTGTATTATCTGTGCATCTCATGTACATAATATAAGAGGGTGATAGGATTTCTAGCAAGACTTTGTTTTAGAGCCAAAAAAAAAAAAAAAAGTGCCCTTCCTATTTCTCTTCTGACTCTCACTGGAGGAATTGCCATTGTTTGGCAATTAGTTTTTAGAGATTGAATTCCCAAAAAGATACTGTAGCAGTTCTGCAACATCCCTGGAGGGGCTGGCTATATAAGAGTATATATACCTCATCGCTAGACTGTCAGTCGCCATTTGAAGGGTCCAGGGTAACCCATTCATACACCAAGGTGATTCTTGTCAAAGTTTAGAAATTATTTATTTTTTTTATAGTTTACTTATTTTGAGAGAGAGTGAGAGCAGGGTAGGGGCAGAGAGAGAAGGAGAGAGAGAGAATCCCAAGCAGGCTCCACACTGGCAGCGCAGAGTTGATGCAGGGCTCCAACTCACGAACTGAGAGATCATGACCTGAGCTGAAACCGAGAGATAGACACTTAACTGACTGAACCACCCAGGCGTCCCAAAGTTTAGAAATAACTTAAAGTAACTACTGAAAGCAGCCTCTTTTTGAATGACAGCATTGCATATTGATATAAGAAATGTAACAACCCATCTAAATTCAAGTTCAAATACTGTGGCCATGTTATAGCTCTGCAGCTTACTTAATTTCTCTGAGTATGAGTTTATTCAACTTTAAGATGGGAATAATAATATCTTCTGAGATTTCTGTGAAGATTAAACAAAGTAAAGTATGTATAGTACCTGGCATCATATTTGGCATTTGAAAAACAGTAGATGTTGTTATTACCTATGTCTGTTTTGGAGGTAGCTATTTCAAAGACTGTCTCCAACTTTGCTCGCTAAGGAGGAAGAATTTCAGCCATTGTTTAAGAACTTACCATCTAAAGGAATTTTTAAATGTATTCTGCTTGTTCATGTGACACAACATTGGATATCTCTGAAAAGAGTTGACTAAATCTCTAAAGAGGGAGAAGGAACTAGCTCTTTAACATCTGTTTGGCAACACATTTGAATGTGTCACCTTGGTGAAGTTACTTAACCACTCTTTGCCTTAGTTGCCTCATTTCTAAAGTAGAGTTATTAATACTGTTTACTTCATTGGATTATTATGAGGATTAAGTAAGCTTATATATGAAGGCAATTAGAAATATAACTATACCTTGGGGCGCCTGGGTGGCGCAGTCGGTTAAGCGTCCGACTTCAGCCAGGTCACGATCTCACGGTCTGTGAGTTCGAGCCCCGCGTCGGGCTCTGGGCTGATGGCTCAGAGCCTGGAGCCTGTTTCCAATTCTGTGTCTCCCTCTCTCTCTGCCCCTCCCCCGTTCATGCTCGGTCTCTCTCTGTCCCAAAAATAAATAAAGAAACATTGAAAAAAAAATTTAAAAAAAAAGAAATATAACTATACCAAATGTGGTAAGCACCATTTTGTAAATGTTAACTAGTAGTAGTAGTAACAATAGCCATAGTAGTAATAAAATAGTATTATCATCATCGTCAACTATTCTGAATGTTTATATAAATTGCAGCTGGCATATCATAACTTCTGTAAGAAAACTGATGATAGTTAATTTTAGAAATGGGGAACTTAGACTCACGTTGCCTGCTACTGCCACATTAGTCAGTAGCAATTTGGGTTTGAATCCGGGTTCATCTGAATCCCAAATCTTGTACTTTTACCACTGTATTGTTATTCAACCGTCTAAGCTTTCTTTGATTCCTGAAATTTCATAAAGAGAATTCAGTGATGATCCAACCAGAACTCGTCTACTGATACCAGATAGTCCAGGCTGTGTAGTTGACTAGATTAAATCTTAAAAGGGGGAAATTATATTAACCCATTTATTTTAGTTGCTATTTCCAAGAGTAGGCTTTCATTTATTGAAAATTATTAAATATTTCTTGGCTAATATTTGGCTAATACTGGCTAATATTTCTTTTTTTTTTTTATGTTTATTTATTTTTGAGACAGAGACAGAGCATGAGTAGGGGAGGGGCAGAGAGCGAGAGAGACACAGAATCTGAAGCAGGCTCCAGGCTCCGAGCTGTCAGCACAGAGCCTGATGTGGAGCTTGAACTCACAAACCGTGAGATCATGACCTGAGCCAAAGTCAGATGCTTAACCGACTAAGCCACCCAGGCGCCCTCTTTCTTGTTGTTTTTTTAACCACATCTCATAATGTGTAACATATTATTTAACAGGTATTCATAGGCATTTAACAAATATCTCTATTTTGAAGGAACTATAGATTTAAACTTTTAAAATCCTGAAGCCTTTCAGAATTATTAACTTTAAATTTCACGTAACACACACACACACACATATATATATATATATATATATATATATATATATATAGTTGATTTTATATGCCATCAGGATACTGTTAGTAAATGCAAAGTGCTTTGGATTATCCTTAGCTTTAACTATTGTTTTCAGATTTAAAATAATTACTCGTATTTTAATCTTTTGAATTCACCTCTCTACAGCTTCAAATTATTTTTCTAATCATGCACATAAGCAATATGAGAAATAAATGCTTACTATTTTTTATGTTTTCATTATGTCATCTCTTTCTCTCTTAGAACTAACATCAAACCTCGAAATTCCACACCACCTAGTTTGGCACGAAATCCTGCTTCAGGTGTGCTTACAAACAAAAGAAAAACATATACTGAGAGCTACATAGCCAGGTATGTTTAGCTCTGAGATTGTAAGAACAAAAATAAAAATGAATATATGTAGTTTTTTAAGGACCATATACAAAAATATGTATCAGACTGTTAATAGAAAATCTAATTTTCCTTTACTGTTAATGATTTAGTTTGGTTTTTAAGCTGTACACTAAAGAAATAATTTGGGCATAAATAATAGTTTCCTATACCTTGTAGTTATTAATGTTGTAAATGCTCAAAGTAATCTGTTCAGTTTCACTGGATTCATTGGTATTTTATATCTTAATTTTAAGTGCAACGTAGTTCTTTTTACCGCAACAAATTGAGTCATAGACCCTTTATACCACTGGTATTGTAATTTTCAGCAGCATTTTAATACATTTAAATTCCCCTACTGAGGTTGTGAATATCCATGTACTTCCCTTTCTTATCTGTCACAATATTTGTACAACTTTGACATTCACTCCGTGTTTAAGCATATAATGAAATCCTTCCAGTTACAGCTAGTATATGTGTGTGTGTGTGTGTGTGTGTGTGTGTGTGTATCAATCACAACTATTCCAGAAAGCTTTAAGGCAATATACAGAGATACATGTTGAGATACAATATTATATAAAAATGTGTGTGTGTGTGTGTGTGTGTGTGTGTGTGTGTGTGTATTCCAACTATTCCAGAAAGCTTTAAGGCTATATACAGAGATACACGTCGAGATACAGTCTTGTATAAAAATGAAAGAATAGGAAAAGGAAAAATGAGAATTAAAAGATAAAGCAAAAAAAGGAATGAAGTTAGTCCATAGCCTAGCCCTTGGCCATAAATTGGGTCCAAACTTTGTAGCAGCCAGAGTACAGGAGAAGAGAAGAGTAGTTACATGATTGATGTTATATTTAAAAATCAAAAATTATTTCTCTTTGAAAGCACTAGTCTCAAGGCCTCAGAAATCTGCCTGTGAATTCTTATAAAAGAGGAACTGAGTAATTTAATGGATAACTTTTTTTTCCAGCTTTATTGAGAAGTAATTGCCATACATCACTGGAGAAGTTTAAGGCAGACAGCATGATGGTTTTGTTTTACATATATTCTGAAACGATTACCATATGTTCGGTTAACATCCATCTTCTTAACACAGATAAAAGAAAAAAACAAAAAAAAAAAAAAAGAAAAAAAGATTTCACCTTGTGTTGAGAACTTTTAGGATTTACTCACTTAGAAACGTCCCTATCTGTCACACTGTTTGATGTAGTCATCATGTTGTACATTACATCCCTAGTACCTATTTATCTTACAACTAGAAGTTTATACCTTTTGACCACCTTCCTCTAATTTATCCTCCCCATCCAATGGATAACTTCTTAATTAACATCTCCACTGTAAATACGGTAATAAATTTCATAGGGTGTTTTAAGATGCCCTCAATGCAGGCCTATAACATGAATTCACCAAAAATTGTTGTGATATATATTTGTTATGTATAGGTATATATGTTGTCCGCTTTTGTTATAAGTATATAACATACACAGTTATCCATTATTTAGATTTAATGCAGGGTTAGATTTTCAAGTATCTAAATCCTAGCTGTCAATCTTGGTTGTTACCCTTCAGAACAAAGCACCTGTGGAACTTTCTGAAAATGAACAGGTCCACATCCCTCCCAGAGAGTTTGAATTCTTTGGTTTGGATTTTTAAAGTTTTAAGAGTGATGTTTAGGCATAACATGGAATGAGAGCAATAGATGAATAGGTGAATTACTACCTTACCAGCTACATTCTTTAATAAACATTGTTTGTCTCAGCTGAGGTTTTGATGCATGTTAAGTATTAAAGAAGTGAACTTAATGTTTCTTGGATTCCTGACATGTGGCTGTACTATGTTGTTGTATAAGTATAGGGCCATTCTGAGTGTAGAATTAACATTTCTCTTATAAAGTAGAAAGCTTAATAAATACATGCGCTTGAATAAAAAGATCATTTAATCTTTCTAAAGAGGTAGACAAAAGAAGTGTCAACAATCAGGGATAAAAATCCATTAAAAATGAGTTTGGGTTCTTTTTTTGGTTTTCTTTTCTTTCTTTTTAAATGGTTGATATGTGATAGGAAACCCTGAACCTTGTTCACTTGACTTACTACCCTACCCAGATGGAGTAATTACAACCATAATAGATAAAGAAATCTCATAGATATCTTTTCCTGCAAGTTTGAGAGACTACATTTTCTGGATGGTTCTTCCACCCAAAATACCTAGAAATAACTACACAAAATGGAACAAATATCCTTTTGAATGTATAGCTTAGCTCTCAGAAAGGTAAAGGAAACACCTCCACAGGTAAATAAACAAAAAAAAACTAGAGGTCAAATGGGTAAATTAACCCTGACACTGCACTTACATTTGAGGCTTTACTGATCTTCCTGTTGAAAGGCTTGGGTTTTAATGTCATTGTGGGAGAAAGGAGTTGGTTTGTTGGACTTGTACAAAGTGGAGCTTTAGAAACTCAACTTTGCCTTCCCCTCTCCTCATGCCTCTTCTCTAAGCCAGGACTCTTGAAATGCTCATCCGGAGGCACAGCTAGATGTAGTCACATGGTAATATATGACATTTGGCATTGGGATTACTGACAGGAAATAGGGAATGATAGCAAGAAGTGTCAGGTGTGTCTCTTTCCTGGAAATCCTTGCCCCCATCCTGGAGCTGGTCTTTGACCGTCCAAGTGACAGCATGGGTGTGAAAGAACAAGATCTTATAAGTGTGTGTAGGATCAGTTTAATAGGAAATTCTGTGTCCCCCAAAGGGAATGAGTTTCTCACATAACAGTCCATGGACATAGCTTTCAGTTTGTCCCGAGGGATGTCTGGTTTCAGTGGACAGCGTATAAGCTCTATGGCCTGGAAGCACAGCTGGCATTCCACCTTTTTAAAGGTTTTCATTAAAGAAGGCTGGGAAGCTATCCCAGTGTCAGATGTGTCCACAGAAACAAGGAGTTCACCTTAGGCTACATTATAGGTTATATTAAAATAGAAATGATTATAGCTGACATTCTTGTGGCATTTCTGTTTTTAAAGAAAATTCTTACATGTCACCATTAAAGAGGGAGACTGATACAGAATTCTGTTAAATACATTTTATTGATATAATGACATTCCCTTTTATTCCTAATTTTCTAAGTGTTTTTTTAATCAAGTATAAGTGGTGAGTGTTATTGAATATCATATATGTACATATAACTAATATTTTTAAATCTTTAGTCTGTTTATGTGATAAATTGTATTAATATATTTCCTAATGTTAAATCAGTCCTATGTTCTGAAATAAATCTAAAGTGTCCTGAATTGCATGTTTGTAAATTGCATTTGCTGAAATTCTTGAAGATATTTACATGTATTTCCAAGTTAACAGGTAAAATTTATTTTAATTTTATATTATCTTATTAGTTTGAGTTTCAAACAACCTTGAAAAGAAATTGCAGATATTGTTTTTCACCTCCCTCTTTTGGAAAAGTTTAGTAGAATTTACCATGTAAAACTGTCCTGAGTCCATTATGTGTGTGTGTACCTACGTGATAAGGAGGGGTAGTCTGTTAATTACTATTACATTCATAATTTAATGATTATGTTTGTTTAGTGCTAGTTTATTTGAAATCAGTTTTCATAAGTACATTTTTCTAGGAAATTTTTCATTTCATCTGAGTTTCAAATTGCTAGCATAGAATTGTTCTTATAATTTTAAATCTCTGTTATATCTGTAGTTACATCCCTCTTTTATTCTGAATATTGTTTGTTCCTTTTTTGTTGATCATTCTTGAGAGAAGTTTTCTTTGGCATTTTATTTTTTTTTATTTTTTATTTTTTTAAATTTTTTTTTTTAACGTTTATTTATTTTTGAGACAGAGAGAGACACAGCATGAACGGGGGAGGGGCAGAGAGAGAGGGAAACACAGAATCGGAAGCAGGCTCCAGGCTCTGAGCCAGCTCCAGAGCTGGACGCAGGGCTCGAACTCGCGGACCGCGAGATCGTGACCTGAGCCGAAGTCGGACGCTTAACCGACTGAGCCACCCAGGTGCCCCCTCTTTGGCATTTTAAACAGACCAAATATTTTGCTTTCTTTATCCTTGTCATGTATTACTCATTCACTTACTCGTTAAAAAAATATTTACTGAGAGATGAGTTTATGTCCAGTACTTCTCTTGATCCTAGCCTAGAGCAATAATAAAACAGATAAAAATCCCTGCACTCAGGGAGCTTACAGTCTTATGGAGAAGACATAACATAAATAACATATACTGCATGTCAGATGGACAACAGTTAAAGCAAAGGGGGACACAGAGTTCAAGGTGACAGTGAGAGTGTCCAGAGCCATGAGGGTTGCAGTACAGGGGATAAAGGATGAAAGAATTTGAGTGTGTTAGTGTAACTAAATTAGAGCAAAGGACCTAATGATAATGATGAGAATTTTAAAAGATACTATGGATACAGTGAAAATAGCATAATAGATTGGGAGAAATTATGTATTTAGTTTTATAATATATGTTATATGTACATATTTATTACGGTGTATATTTGGAGGCAAGACCTCCACCTTTCCTCAGGGCAGAGTTCCAGTTTTCTCTGTAGAGATGGTTTTGCAGAAGGGACACCTAAATTTCCATCATGCTCCCATTGTAGTAAATACGTAGTATATTGAGGAGATGCAAAGTCTGGTGGCATTTGTTCCTGAAAGATTGTCATAACAGGGACAAATAAAATGCCAAAGAAAACATTTAGAATTTCATTATTAACTAAAAGGGATTCTTTTTTTTTTTAAATCTAAACTAGAAGAGTATTAAAAATGAGGTTAAACAATGTTTTAGTTGTACTTAATATTTTTATGTTGTGTTTTCTAAGGGTTATGAAAACTACTGACAAGAACTTTGTGTTTCCACTTTTTTCCTATACTTCTTCAGGCCAGATGGAGACTGTGTATCTTCACTTAATGGTGGAAACATTAAAGGCATGGAAGGAAATTCAACAGGACACTTACCAAAATTCTGCCATGAGTGTGGGACTAAATACCCTGTAGAATGGGCAAAGTTCTGCTGTGAATGTGGCATTCGAAGAATGGTTCTGTGAACAGAGTCCAAAAAAAAGCTAAGTCTAAAATTTTATGACTGTTGCTGCTTGGACAGCTAAGCACTTCCTCTAGTGAATTTATGCTAAAATTATTCAAAATACTTTTTTCAGCAATTTTTGAAGCATAATCTTTGGCTGTGTAATGTGTGTGTGTATATATTTGTGTACATATACTGTATATAATAAATACCTGATGCCCCAAACTGTGCCATTCAAGGAAATATTCACTCATCTGTCAAAATAATTTCAAGTGGAATCATTAACTTAGGTGTTACTTTTCTGTTATTGTTGTTAAAGCACATGAAGCATACCTCCACAAAATCAAACACTAGTGCTCAGTCCTTCAAGCTTTAGGGATGATCATTACCTTGAGCAAAAAATCAGAACTAACATATTTATTATCGGTGCCTATTTTCAGATAGTATCATAGGATGGGATGCTTGAAATTTTGGAAATGAAGAGAATATTTTTAGTTACAACTAGTTATGTGAGATCATTTCTGTAGAGCTTGCCAACCATTAATTTTATAAATATTAAAAAAGAAAGGAAAAAAGCCCCACGGGTCTAGGTTGTCCTTTATTCAGTATGTCACTAATTTTATAATTTAAAGGTCTTTACTCATTCTTTAAAATGTAATTATGCAGTTTCCTTTTTAGAAACACAAGACTGAAAAATGCAGATGTGTCTTATTCCAGTCATAACTGAATGATTTTTTTTTTTACTTCTTTGTTAGTTGAATGTATATTCTATTTCTAATTGTATCTCCATATTTCATTTTTTTCATAACCTCATGTCTAAAGAGTTTTATTTTACTACTTTTTTTATTTGCAAAGTTTGAAAATAATATAAAATGCATAAATTTCCTTACAAAATTCCACACATTTATTTCTGTGTAATTAGAAAAAATTATTTTTAATAGATTTTAAAACAAACCACCTCACCTAATAAATAATTTGGATAGTTAATCATTAGCAATTTTTAAATTTTAATTTCCCTTGAAGTATAGTTAGATGTAGTTATGAGTAGGTCAAGAGAATATCTAATTTTCCTACTTATATTTTCTTTTTAGTGTTTAATGCCAAAACACCATTCACATCACAGTAAAAACCCCACTAAAAATGCATTGCTTTAATGCATTAGCTGACTTATGTAATTAAACATTCACAAAAATTTAATTATACTTTAATTTTGGCTAAAATGTAGCTTTTAATCATTGTCACTTTCAATGTAACAGTATTTAGCAGATTTCTTTGATCGCCTATGCAGCCATATTCTATAATTTATTAGTAATTTCTGTTGAATGGAAAGAGCTTTGATCTTATAAAGTTATAAGCAAATCTTTTATAGGCAGTTTATAGCTTCTCGTTTATGACTGTGATCAACTGTAAGGGTTAATGTAGAAATTTGTGGCTTACAATTTTTCTGAAATTTATTTATGCTTATACTTTGTAATTGTATTCATTAGTTTTTGTTTCTGTTTTTGTTTTTCATTCAGGCAGGGTATGTAAACTTGAGATAATGGGAATTGTTATTTTATTTTCCTTATGGTTTCTTTCCTGACTTTTTATTAACTTTTTTTTTCTGGTTGTCTTCATTCAGTCAAATTAGTCTTTAGAAAAAGTCCATTTATTAGAATAAGCTGTAATTAATTTAGGAGAATAATGTACATATTAGATTTTCATTTCTATAATATGTTATTCTGTCTTAATTGTTATAAATCATAGGAAGAACTTTATACTTTGTTTTACCTGGAACTGAGCACTATTTTTTTTTTTAAGACCACATAGTTTTTGCCCAAGGGGAAGGGTAGATAAAATGAACTTAAACAGAAGTGGCACGTGTTTGTTTCTCACAGAATTTTGCAGTAGCAAGTAAATGTTACAATGTACTACATGGAAAATGAGTTGGTAAAAAAAAAATCATCCAATTCTAGAACCCAGAGATTATTAGAAATAGTAAGTTGGTGAAGTATACTTATGAATTATGAAACATGTTGTGACAATGTGTTTAAATGCATTTTTATATTACTTACATATATTATTCTCACATTGATTTGTTGTGCAATAGTTCAGTTTATGAGAAATTTTCCTAGATCATTTAGTTTATTTTTATTTATTTTCACAAGTATTTGCCAGTGTGGTAGAATAAAAAATGATTATAAGCTTAAATTTAAAATGTAAAAATTGCTTATATATTATTCTGAAAGTCATTAGCTTGAAAAAGTAAAATTATTATGGTTGCTGTTGTCTCTTGTTCACAGTTTTTTATTATAAATATTGTCTTCATTTTTGAACCTATTCAATAAAGATGAAGCAAAAAAAAAAAAAAAAATTCCAGTCGGTCTTTATTAATGTCTTAGCTTTTACCCAGACATAGGTAGAAAGATAAGAGCACACTGAAATATGAAGAAAATATTCAAAGTCTAAATACAAATTTTTTTAAATGGCAGAAAGTAGCTTTTAATTGGCCATTTTTTTGTGCCATCAGCTTTTAAAAAAATTGCTATTACTTTACTGAATTGCAGTGTTTTCTGACTTCAAAGTGTTCTAAATGTTTCATTACAAGATTTCTAATGCATAGTAAATTCTCTTCATGGCCAGTAAAATATAGCAGTTGAAAACATTAGCGAACTTAAGATTGATAGAAAACGTTGCGTGTATATTTCGAATTAGGTAATGTTACAGTTAATGGCAAAAAGTATTGGTTTGTCATCAATACTTAGTAATTTTAGACTATCATATTTAAAATTTTAAACAGGAGCTGTCTCTAGTAAAAATATAATCAAATTAGGGGCACCTGGGTGGCTCAGTCGATTAAGCATCCCACTTCTGCTCAGGCGTGATCTGGCGGTTTGTGAGTTTAAAGCCCTGCATTGGGCTCTGTGCTGACAGCTCAGAGCCTGGAGTCTGCTTTGGATTATCTCCCTCTCTCTGTCCCTCCTCTGCTTGCACTCTGTCTCTCTCTCAGGAAATGAATAAATATAAAAAAATTTTTTAATATAATTAAATTAAACATGTTTGATTTGTACTCAATGCAATATATTTGCATTGTAGGTATATGTATTTTATGTGGTGGATATATTTTTAGTACTAAGATAATTTTTCCAACTGTGTTACTGAATTGAGCAGTAGAAAATCATTAAAACCAAGTTAATGATAGCCACACTTATTTTCAGAAGTTCAGAAGTTTTTTAGTTAATTACTACTATCAGAATACTCATTATATGGAAGTTTGCTTGGCTTATACGTGGATTGCTTTTTTTGCCACTAGAGGGTGCTTTTAGATAATTTAATATTACCAGCTTCCAATTTTATTTTAAAGGCCTCTCCGCAACATAGATATATCTATATCTATCTCATGACATTATGGAGGTTTATAAAAGATAGTTTTTATTCTTCATTTTGTTGTGACTTTAATAATTCGTAAGCTGTTTTTTTTTAATGTTTATTATTTTTGAGAGAGTGAGAGACAGCAAGCAGGGAAGGGGCAGAGAGAGAGGGAGACACAGAATCGGAAGCAGGCTCCAGGCTCTGAGCTGTCAGCACAAAGCCCCGTGCGGGGCTCGAACTCACAGACCGTGAGATCATGACCTGAGCTGTAGTCGGCCACCCAACCCACTGAGCCACCCAGGTGCCCCCATATGCTGATTTTTAAGAACCTTAATCTAGCTCATTTTAGGCACCATTGTGATAGTAATTAATAGGAATGTTTAATATTTAACCCTCACATTTTGTTAACAATTTATGCATCTCAAACCTATTACTCAAACATTACCAGATACTCTTTATGCTATTACTTTAATATTTCATTTTAGTTGTACAAGAGTTACAATCTTTTTTAAGATAAGAATTTTTTTTAATCATCTAGCCTAACTTAACGATATTTAATATAGGTGAGTGACATCTACTTATTTTATTTTTTGTTTTGTTTTTTTCTTTTTAAATGTTTATTTTGAGAGGGAGAGAGAGAGAAAGAGTAGAGAGGGGCAGAAAGGGAGAGAGGAAGAGAACCCCAAGCAGGCTCTGTACCCTCAGCATGCAGCCAACACAGGGCTTGATCTCACAAACCACAAGATCGTGACCTAAGCTGAAATCAAGAGTCAGATGCTTAACGAACTGAGCCACCCAAGCGCTCCTAAGTTTTTAATTCCAGTTAGTTAACATACCCTGTTATATTAGTTTCAGGTGTACAATATAGTGATTCAACAATCTATCCATACATACATCACACAGTGCTCATCACTGACAAGTGCACTCCTTAGTCCCCATCACCTATTTTACCCATTTCCCCCATCCCTCCCCTCTCGTAACCTCAATTTCTCTGGTAGTGACTAGGGATGCTGCCAATCATTCAGCCATGCACCACACACCCACCCCCACAACAAAGAATGCTAATTTCTTGGTTTGGATAAATGTACCATGCTTATGTAAGATGTTAGCGTTAGAGGAAACTTGGTAAAAGGTATACAGGAACACTCTGTACTATCTTTGCAACTCCTATATATCTGAAATTATTTCAAAATATATAAATAAAGCTTATACTTAAGGGCAACATACAGCTTCAGAGTCAACAATCGATATTTTCATAATTTATTTCTATTACAGTGTACTATGTACTATAGCTGAAGTATTGTTTTGATTTTTTGCAAATTACTTGAATCAATGAAATTTATATTGCCAGTGATATATGTTGACATTTTTGAGACCAATAACATACTTTCAAATGTCTTCAAAGGGGTCTTTAATCATCTTACCTAAAAAACCTCCTCTGTTGATCAATCTTGTTTTTTCTTTCTTTGTTTTCCGGAGAATTTGTTTTCTGTAATAATTTTGTTCATTTGTCGAGTGTTGCCTTTTTTGGAATATATGCTCCCTGAAGGCAGGGGCTTTCTTGTACCTCTAGGTCCAGAACTGTCACATTAGAGATGGATACTTAATAAATATTTGTTGAGTGAATTATCTGTATCTGTGTTGCATCTTCCTGTTAAGTGGTATTCAAAGGATGGGGCTTCTTTAAACCCACTGGGCTGTGAAGATAGAAGTCCCAACCATAGTATTTAACTTAACCTTGATGAAAGTAACTCCTCTTTCTTAAGTATAAAGATGTATTTGTCTACATATTTAAACTTTTTCACAGCTAAAGACAAATCCTTTCCTTTCTGCTGGGAATGCTGGGTAAGGAGATGATAAGGTAGATATCTGTGATTTTATACTTTCCGGTCAGATCTTTCTGATTTCTCCTAGAAAGCTTTTACTTCACCTGATGAGATGTTCTTCAAACCAACCGCCTTTCATTTGATAGGATTTGGACCATTTCCAGAACAATTTATAAGAGTTCCTGTCCAATTAAATTCTTAGGTAAAATGTTCCCATTTGATTCAGATTATTTTCAAACATAAAATTTGTGATAAGCATCAAAGGTAGAAATTGGCAAGCACATGCCCATCTCTCACATGGTGGCACCTGGTAGATTATTGAGTTATTTGTTGACCTTAGTGGTGGCACAAACGAAAAAATCATCAA